TCCTAACGTATATTGTTGTTCTAAGGTCATTTTTATGTTGTAGTTGCACCTGAATCCTATTCATGCAGTTGTTCAGCTCCGCTGCAACATCTCAAGCCCAGTGTCTCAAAAAGAAAGAACAGGGTTACTGCTAATGTAGAAGTTACTGTTAAAGTAGAAGAGCCTAATGGGAAGCAGCTGGTCCATCAATCAAGTGGGTGATTACTGATTGTCTACATATATTTTAGGAAATGTAAAAAGTTAAGGTTCAGAATATGTGTCTGAAACATACCTTGGTTTTGTTATTTTTGTATCCCTTCTTCCATATACGTATTAGTAATTTCTTGTGGAAAATCTACTTTTTCAGTTTTTTTCCCCTGTAATTGCTTTTTGCTTATTAATTCTATAATGCATGAGTTTCAAGTTTTGCCATTGCAGCAGAACAAGGGAATACAGTCCTCAACTGAGCAAAAAGCAGATGATAAAGAGGTTTCTACTTTCTTTCACTTACATAGCATAACAATATTATTTTAATTAGGGAAAACTTCACATACACCCCCTGCGGTTTGCAATTTTCCCACTTACACCTGGGGAAATTTTTTCCCACTTACAACCTTGTGGTTTATTTCTGTCACTAGAAGGGATAACAAAGTTAAAAATCAAGCAGAATTTAGTGAAATTACAAAATTACCCTCACCCTTATTTTTTAAGGCTGTTGCCCCTTCTGGCAACAGTAGTGAACCATAGGGGTTATCAGTGAGAAAAAAATTTCCACGGGGGTAAGTGGAAAAGTCACAAATCACAGGGAGTGTATGTGAAGTTTACCCTTTTAATTATATGTTAAATTTACGTTGAAACATGAGCAATCCAAATGGCTTGTAAGTGTAGGATATCATTACTGCTTCTAGAGTTTCCACTAACTTGTAGTCACTTGTGTTTCCAGTGGACTTTGTTCTGAATTCTGAAAACTATGAATTAATTAGATTTGCTTCTTTTATTTTTTGTTCCTTTTCATTTTCCTTTCCAGTGTTGGGTTCCACTCAAGTATCATAGCTCCAAGATTTACATCTCTGCTCAGTATCTGCAGAGAATGATGGCAGAAGAAAGCTGTCCAATTCAGTTTACCATGAGCCGCATGTTTTTTTTTTCCTGTTTTGTTAGCCCCTTAAACTAAAAATTCTGATAGATGTTTGAAATTACTATTGAAGCATCAATAAGTCAGTTACTATTGATTTGAATCGTTTCTCATTATCTTTAGGTATGATTGTGTTGACTTGTTCTGTCTTGGAGGTACTAACAATAACAAAGTCCAAGGTCTATCTAGAAGGTATGGTTACCCTTCTAGTTTCTGTTTCTAGCTTCCACAGATATATATATATATATATATATATGAGAGGAGATAGAATTTGGTATCATTTGCCTTTTGTTTTATATGTATTTTTACTTCTTGTTCAAGTGTTTGATATGTTCACGGCTTTATTATGTCAAGGAAAATGCATCATCTGCCTATTCTTTATGTTTAATAATTTAAAGACCATTGTTGTTTTTTCTTCAGGTTTTTACTTTCACTTTCACTGGAAGAATGCTTGAAGAAATTACTGTCTGAGGTCTGTTCAAGTAGGGATTCCATTGTGTTTTCTATGTGTGTTTGTGTGTGTGCCTGGTTTGGCTGCTGTCATATATAATATATATATATAAGTATGGATCCACTTACTAGAGTGTAAGTCTTATACTTTTTTTAACCTTGGATCAAAATTAAATTTATGACTAATTTAGATCAAAATAATATTTTTAATCTTAGCCATTTTGATCCAAGGGTCAAAAAAATTATAAGACTTACATTGGTGTAAGCGAATCCCTCTCTCTCTCTCTCTCTTCATATATATATATATATATATATATATAGATATATAAAAGAAGATGCGGTTTAATCCCCCAAATGTTGGCACTGTATACTGGACCTAAAATTAACTTTTGCCATATGTTTTTGCAATGAACTTAGGCTTTTAGCGAACATGCATCTTTGATGCTTTTGATTGCCTGAATTTAGGATCATGATCTTATTATATAGTGTTTGCTTTAAATTAATAAAATTATTGATTCCTGCTTTTTCTTCTTTTTAGTTTTTAAACTTAGTTTCCAAAAATAAAGATTGAGACTTTGACGGTTAAACTTTACTTTGTTTAGCCAGCCTTGGTAGGGATTACTAAAGTCATATTGTCATGTATTATCTCATTTAATATTTTCAATTTCCTTTTTTCTCTCAATAGGGACCTCCTTTTCACATATTTAGTGCTCTTAAGAACTTTGCTCCAGATGCCTCAATTGAAGATATTTTTGAAAGTCCTTCAGATGCATGCTCAATTAATGCAAGGACTTTGGGTTCCCAAGAGTTCGTTATTGTTTCCAGATGATCGAACTAAATCTTTAGCAAGCGACTATGTGCTTCTCTTATTTAGCAAGAACCCCAATAATAAGCTTAGCACAAGTAAATGCCCTTTCCCCAAGTTGCAAAGAAGAAGTAAAAGGCTTCCTGAAAAATTTAGCTGTTGAAAGGCCTTCCTTCAAAGATTGGAAGTTAAAAGAGAATGCTGATGAAGCATTCAAAAAACTCTATCCAGCTATTGTTAAGGAACAAGAACAGAATTGGAGAGCTGGAGGATATCGAAGGCCCTGAAAAAAGGTGTTTCAAACTCACAAAGTGTGCAGGTAGATTGTTTGAGGCTTTAACCATAGACATTTCACCTTGATTGCTCATTTGATTCATCCCATCCTATGTTGAATATGCAAGCCTTGTTTAATTTCCACTGATGAAAGCTTCTTCGCAATTTTGTTGCACTGTATGTTTTCAGCTTGGGAATGATTTGCAAATGTCTACAGGATTTGGCTTTTTCCCAGTCTACCCTTCCCAAGGCAGATGCTAGAATGGTAGTTAAGGTGGTATATGGTGCTGACACGCCTGAGCATGAGCTCCAGGAAGTCGTAGTCAAGTTGCAGTGGAACTTCATGGTGGTCTTTTCGTTCTGATGTCATCCCCAGAGCTTCGAGAATATCATCCTTTGAGGTTGCATAAATCTGTTCAGTTAAAACTTTAGTTAAGAACAGACGTGTATGGTCTCGTATGTTTTTTCTACATATTTCCTCCTTTTCATCAGATTGTCATTTCCATGCAGGAAAGTTGTGATTGATCTCTTCGTGCCAAAGGAAAGCTCAAGAAGGCTTAAGTCATAGCTGCTGCCCACATTAATCTTAAGAGGGAAATCACTAATAATGAGTATAACAAGGTATCCTATACAACTAGTTAATATATTGTTTTTTTCAGATAGGTTTGGGTTTGCTTCCTTGAGTGAATCTTAGCTGTTTGTATCGCTTCACTGGATTGCCTTTAGGTTGAGACATGGCTCACGGTAAAGAGATTACATGTTTGTGGCATTACTCACATGAGGCATACATAAAGATGTAGGAAGGTATAGGTAGAATCATAGAATTCTTGCTCTATTGCATTGTCATGCTGTCTTCCCAGTAAAGATTAACATTGAGAAGAATATGATACTTGCAACTTAAGGAGAGGTATGTGGAACACCATAGAGATAATCATACGAAAAAGGAGTGTTACGTGAATTGAGATCTCAAGACCTGCCGTGTTAGTTTTGACTGGCATTACCGAACAGGGAATATGCTGGCCAAATCCTACTAGTTGTTTCTCATTTCATTCTCTACGGTACTCAGAAATTTATAACTTATAACAGAACCTGGTTAATAATTATTTTTAGATATAATGTTATAAATGACTCCTAAATTATAGTGAAATATTTAATGTGATACTTAAAATTTCTAATGTGATTTGTGAACTATGAATCTGTTAACTAATGTGGTATTCACTCGTAATACGGTTAGCTTCGAACAATGACATGTGGTAGAGAAACAATCCTTCAAGTATTACATTAGTTAATATATTCATAATTCATATAAACATTAGAGATTTTTAAAATTTAAATACTATATTAAACATTTCACTGTAATTTAAAGGTCATTCATGACATTAATCCTTACTTTTATACAATGAGGCATGCTTTAATAACACTAGGCTTTGAAATATTGTCTTGGCATCTGCATTGACTGGAGTAACCGGGATATTATGGAATGGCATTGGATCATCCTTTCCTCATTCAATATAATCACTCCTCGTCCTAGTTGCCTATTCTGAAAGGTATTCCTTTGTTTTGCAGGTCATGATTGATTTTTGCGAGCATAATAGCAATTGGTGGGAATTGAAAAGTGGTAATGGAAAGCCAAGCTAATTTGGATTAAATATTTTTCATGAGATTGATGATGAAATCAGGTATGAGGGGCAAAGAGAAGGTAGTTGGCCAGAAGATGTACAAAAATTTTGTATTGGCATTTATAGGAGAAATTTTGTGATAGCATGTATATGGCTTATTGGTTTTTTAGTGATGGTATGCAAGCGTGATCAACTGATTCAGTAGCATAGCTAGGCCAATTAAATGGGGGTTGGGATATATATGCATTGCACACTCGGTGATTTTTGTAGAATTCACATAATAAATTTTTTTGTTCCTTTATTCACATAATAACTCGTCGGAGTTGATTTCACCTTTTATAAATGGATTGTGGGTTGTGTGCTTCTCTTTGAATGGAAAAAAAAATTTATTTGTGTCCAAGGTTGAATACAGCTCTGGACTTCATTTAATCAGATTTTAAAAAGCAAATCATACTAAAATAAAAATATATAAAACTTGAATTATACTGTTAATAAAATTTTTAAAACTAAAAAAAAATTATGAAATTATAAATAATTGATTTTCACATATTTAATTTTCATAATTAACAAAATATGATTAATTAATATTAATATAAAAAATATAAAAACAAAAATTGTTTAAATAAATAATTATTATTTAATATCATTTAATTTAAAACAATTCTTACTGACAAAAAAAATATTTTTAATTATTAGTTTAATTAAAAAATTTATAAATATTTTTAAAATATATCCTCGACGAAGCGGAGCCAACGATTGTTTCTTCAGTAGTCACAGCAAAACAGTCAAAACAAAGACCCAAAAAGAAAAAAAACAACCCAACCAAAATCACCAAAAGAAAATGACCGATTACGAAGCTCGCTACCAGAGCAACGGAGAGGACCTTGAAAACAGTAATGGCGGCGATCCCCCTCCTCAGCTTCGCGAAGCTAGTCACGGCGGCCTTGATGATCACCGCAATTCCAAATCCCAGGTACGTTTATGTCTCTACCACGAGATCGCGTGAAGTTAGGGTTTCTTTTTCTCTCAAGTTTCTAGCCATTGATATTGCTTGTTTTAGTCTTTTTTTTTTTTTGGGAGAAATTTTTGAGGAATTTTAGGTTGGTTAAATTTCTAGGGTTTTTCAATGTCATTGTAGTTGTATGAGTGTACTCATTTATTAAAAGCAAATTTCTTGGCGTTAGTTTTGTTAAGTAGGTATGTTTTTCGCGAATCAGGCTCCTTTAGCAATATAATTGTGGATTTCATGTTCGTTAATGCTAATGTGACTAAACTGTTTGCAGGATGGATCTCGTGAGTACGAGAGAGGGTCTTCTAGAAGTAGGGAAAAGGAGAAAAGCGGTGATAAGGAAAGGGAGAAGGATCGTGATCGCCATAGGGACAGGGAAAGGGACAAGGATAGGGAGAAAAGTAAGGATAGGGACCGAGAAAAGGACCGTGACCGTCATCACAGAGATCGTCATAGGGATCGAAGTAGGGAGCGGAGTGAGAGGAGGGAAAGGGGAAAAGATAGGGATGATGATGATTTTCACCGAAATCGAGGCTATGTTAGGTAGCATAAATAAATCAATTTAAGCTGCCTTGACTTTTGATTACTCTTTTTCACAACATGCTCGTTGTTCTAATTGCTAATTGTTAATGGAGTTATATTTTTAAATGTTGTTTACAGGCGAAGGGATTATGATAGAGACAGGGAGGACAGGCATAGGCATGGGTCTCGCTCAAGGGGTAGATCTGAACACAGATCAAAGTCAAGATCCCACTCTCGCTCACCCTCAAAGAGGTAGGTTATAAAGAACTTGATGATTTGTAAAGCACATAGTTTCCCTTGTTTTAGAAATTGAAGCAGTATTTGGTTAATTTTTGCATATTTGTTTCCTAGTGAGTCTTGGAAGTAAAGCATGACCATTTTAAAGTTTTTTACCCTAGTTTATGTCAATTATATTTCTTGTCCCTGATATACTAACTTTATTTGTTTGCAGCAAAAGGATTAGTGGCTTTGACATGGCACCTCCCGCTTCAGCAATTTTAGCTGCTGGTTCTGGTGCTGCTGCTGCTGCTGCTGCTGCTGCAGCCACCGCTGCTGCCACTGCAGGTACATATGCCTTTACAGGATTTAAGATTGTCATATTTTGTTAACTGCTACTTTTTCTTTTTGGTTGATTTAGTGTAGGAAGTTCCTATCAAAAATACTGGTGTGGTTTTGGTAAGCTGTATTTTTTCTTCAATTTTGTATAAACAGCCTTTTGAGCTGTGGTCTTCTAGAAGGGTTGTAAAATCATTTTTATATTCTTTACTTGGTGAAATAATTCTGGAACTGAGAGAGTTTTGGTTTTTTCTTGTGTTTGGTGTTTGTTGGTTTGTTTCTGTGTTTTTGTCTTTGTTGTAAGAAGGCAATTGCGTGAGCCGACTTCTGTAGCTTTTGTTACAAGGAGGAATCAATGCACCGGTTTAATGGTATTGTTCGTCTTTCCACTGGCAACTATTGCCTTTTTGGGTAGTCTTGCAAGTATTTCCTCAAGACTTTGCTTATGTTGTGTTCTTTTCCTTTTTATCTTTAAGAGTTTCAGATATGCTGTGGGAAATGAGGCATAAAATTCCTTTTGTTGAATCAACCGCTATAGGAATAAGACCCTTATTTATAATTATTTCTTTGTATGAAATCTGAATTTCCTTTGCAGTCCAGATTCCTGGGAATAATCCAGCCCTTCCTGGAGTGTTTCCAAACATGTTTCCTCTAACAACTGGTCAGGTATGTATTTCTCTCATGTTTATAAGATAGTTGTGGGCTTGCTGTATGTTCTCTAACTTTGTATAAGTTTGATTTTTTTCAGCATTTTGGTGGTCTCCCTCTTATGCCTGTTCAGGCAATGACTCAGCAGGTTGGCTGGATTATGCATACATTAGTAGTTTAGACCTTTTCCCTAGAAAATTATTTTCTTACATTACAGACATTTATATGATTTATCTTTTCATTTCAGGCTACCAGGCATGCTCGTCGCGTCTATGTTGGAGGGCTTTCTCCTACTGCAAATGAACAGGTTTTACTCTACACTATAGTTAGTATCTCATTGTTATGTTTGCATTTAGTGCTGGAACTGACCCTAAATATTATGTTACAGTCAGTCGCGACTTTCTTCAGCCAGGTTATGGCTGCAATCTGTGGAAACACTGCTGGTCCAGGTATACAGAGAAATCTTTTGATCTATTGGATGACTGAATTACCTGATTTATGTCTCTGGTTGCTCATCCTTATATGTAACATTCAGGGGATGCTGTTGTTAATGTCTACATAAACCATGAAAAGAAGTTTGCTTTTGTAGAGATGAGATCAGTTGAGGAAGCTAGTAACGCAATGGCTCTAGATGGGATTATCTTTGAGGTATTTTTATTTTCTTCTGGATCTTCATACTGAAATCATTTAGATACAAGAAGTTGCATTGACCTGTTTGAATTTCCAGGGAGCGCCTGTGAAGGTTAGGAGACCAAGTGACTATAACCCTTCACTGGCTGCAACTCTTGGTCCAAGCCAGCCCAGTCCCAATCTTAATCTAGCTGCTGTGGGTCTATCTCCGGGATCTGCTGGTGGGCTTGAGGGTCCAGACCGCATTTTTGTGGGAGGGCTTCCATATTACTTCACAGAAGTACAGATCAGGGAGTTGTTAGAGTCTTTTGGGCCCCTTCGTGGTTTTGATCTTGTAAAAGATAGAGAAACTGGAAACTCAAAAGGCTATGCATTTTGCATTTATCAAGATCTGTCAGTCACAGACATTGCCTGTGCTGCTCTAAATGGAATTAAAATGGGTGATAAAACTCTTACTGTTAGGCGAGCAAACCAAGGTGCTACCCAGCCTAAGCCTGAGCAAGAGAGTATCCTCCAGCATGTGCAGCAGCAGATTGCTTTGCAGGTAAGATTAAGTATTGCTACCTTTTGTTTTTTTTTTTTTTTCTAAATCTTATTCTGTCACATCTGTAGATGATTGGCTAATTTGCTGAATCCTTTTATTTTTCAGAGGCTTATTTTGCAACCACAAGGTTTGCCCACAAAGGTTGTGTGCTTGACTCAAGCACTTAGTGAAGATGATCTTAGAGATGACGATGAGTATGATGACATTGTTGAAGACATGAGACAAGAGGGTGGAAAACATGGTGAAATTCTTTTTAAACTAATTGGTCCATCATTTTCAGATTTGGCCCTCCTTTTTAAGTTTTAAGTTTAACTTGCTAAGTCCCTTGTATATTTTATCAAACACTGATAATGAAGTTTTTTAACTTAACAGGGTTAACAGGGTAACACATAACCCTTAGTATATATTTAAAAAAATAAAAACCAATTTAAAAAAGTAGGACATGAGTCATCATGTTAACCCGTATGTAGAATTAAAAAAAATCCACTTCCAGTATATCAAATAATTTCTCCCTTGTATATTTTCCTCCTCCTTTTTGTGTTTATATCTCTGTTTTACAGCACTTTCTAGTTCCATTTTCTGCTATAGAATCAAGTTTAACATGCACAGATGGAAGACACAATAACCCTTTACCTATAATTTTTTCATACTGTTTTCTCCTAATTAATTCTTTGAATGAAGTTTTCTGTGGATTCGAAATTTTCACAAGTACCATGCAGGTGCATTGGTGAATGTTGTTATACCTCGCCCAAATCCAAATGGTGAACCATTACCGGGTGTTGGGAAGGTCAGTGTTCGACCTTTTTCTTCAATGTATATCATTTTTCGTTGACGTTATGTATGGTAATTCTAAGAAATTTTATTGTTTTGGCGAACAGACATGCATTAATGAATGTTTCTGCTAGTTTCTCGTGTGCATTCCTTCCCCCGAATTAATAACTGTAATTCTTTGGTATTCTCAGGTATTTCTGGAGTACTCAGACGTTGAAGGTTCCCAAAAAGCCCAAGCTGCAATGAATGGACGGAGATTTGGTGAAAATCAAGTTATTGCTGTCTTCTATCCAGAGAACAAGTTTGCACAGGGGGAGTACGATGCCTAATGTCATCTCTGCCATGCATTGTAGTTGGTTGTACTGATTCCTTGTTTAGGTTTAGACTTTATATATATATATGCTTTATGAAGAATATGATTTAAGTAGTGTAATTCTCTGCTAAATTTCTGCTTTAAAACCAAACAGCGAACGAAATGTTAGAGGGATATAGATGGCTTTCATATATTAATCTAATGATGAAATTTTGCACTTAAAAGCCAGGTTGTTAAGATGATGCTCTGCTTCATTTGAGTGGATGTTGACAATGCACTTGATCCAGTTCTAAAGCGACATGATGGTAATAATTATCTTCAATCATCCCAATGAAGCATTGGAGCGTTAGAAATTTCTTTACTTCGTTTTTTCTTTTTATTTTACGGTAATAGTTCTTTTCAATTTTTTGGTAATAATTTCAAGTTAATATCATTTTCGACTGATAGAAAAACTAGAAGAATATATTTTTATATTAAAATAAGAAATGAATTCGTTCACGTAACAAATATAAAATTAATTTTATGAGTATGTAAATTTTTTTCCCCAAGATTTTATGAACGTGTATGCGATAGATATAAAGAATTAACATACATTTTATCTTATCGAATTCATATAAATAAATTAAAATTAAGAAAATGATAAAGTGTAAAGAAAAAGTAACAAAATTAGAAATAAAATCTTTAATTTGATGAACTTGAATGGCTGGGAGAAAAAGAAAAATGAGACCTGGGATTTTAGACTTTACTGCCGGCTATGCCTAGCCCCGGAACCAGAAATTGGCGATCTCTTCGGGGATTTTTTTAGTAAGAATAAGTATTTTAACCTTATAATAAGGTCAGCAAATAATAATTATTAGATTTACATAATTAAATTTTAAAATAGAAAACGATAAAACATGCTTATCAAGTAATGAGAATGTAAAACAAAATTTACAAAATTTTATATATAATTTAAATAATATTCATTTTATGTAATAATTTATGTTTCATTTTATCACATGTTTATGAAATTACTTAAAAATAAAAAAAATAATTAAAAATATTCGTTTTAAAATAATTTTTAATGTAATTGATATCTTTGAAAATAGCTAAAAATATTATAAAAATAATTCTAAAGAAATTAAAAAATATTAGCATAAAAATTCTTTCAAAAAAATTAACTTAAAAGAATTTATATTTTAAATAAAAATAAAACATTGTTAATATAATCAAATGAGAGAAATAATAAAATTTATATCAATTTATGTAAAATATGATAGAAGTATCATAACATGCTAAAAGATGAGTTGTGAAAATTTTAAATATAATTGAATATAAAAAAAAACATTAAAAGGGTTATTTTAACGTAAATAATTAAGTTAATAATGTAAAATTTAAATTAAACATTTTTCTTATAAATATATAAAAATATAGTTAAAAATAAATTCAAGTATAAAAATTAACAAAAAAGAAATGATATTTTTAAAAAATTAATTAAAAATATAATAACGTAATCATGTTAGAGGAACCCTAAAATTTCAATAATTTAACATAAAATATATTATAAGTGTCGTAACACCTAATAAATAATTATGATAATTCTAAACTTAATAAAATGTAAGAATAACAATAAAAAGATATTATTGTAATATAAATAATTAAGATAGCAATGTAAAATTTCAATTAATTATAATTTTTATAAATATATAAGAAAAATATATAATAAATAAAAAATATAGATAACATGAATAGTTAAAAAGAAACATAATATTTGTATCATTTGATGTAAAATATATAAGAAATGTCATAACATATTAAAAAAGAACTATAACAATTCTAAACATATTGGAAGTAACAACAAACATAAAATATATTATTGTAATGTAAATAATTATGATAATAATGTAAAATTTTAATTAATTATTATTTTTGTATATATATAAATAAAATAATTGCAAATTAAAAAATAAATTGGTCTATAGACATTATAGTTAGTTTGGGCCTCAAACCAATTGGGTTCGGATTCGATCCAAATCTAATTGTATAATTTTTTACATTTTTTTATATCTTATTTGTCTTATTTATTTATTTATCTTATTTTATGTTTTAGCCTTTTATTTATCGAGTTTTGAATTTTTATCATAAATCATGTTAACAAAATTTGTGGAGTAATTTGAGCATTAATCAAGAATGATCTCGACAATTAAAACTAAAACATGATCCTTTTAAATATTAAAGAAAGGTTGAAAAGAAATCAAATCAAAAAATCAAAGTCAGATTTAATTTGAGAAATTTTGAGGGATTTTGAAAATCAAGGAAAATCAAGACAATTCTAAAAATTAATTAAATCAATTTTAAAGATAATTAAGAAAAAAAAATCAATTCAAAACATAATTAGATCTGCAATCATTTTCATTCAATGTAAATCCCTAAAATTCTTAACAGAAGGCCTTATATAAACACCAATCAATCACACAAAAAAAAAAAAAAGAGAGGAAGAAAAAAGAAAAATTCTAAGGATCTTAGTTTTTTTATTTTTTTAATTTTAGGAAGGAATCATTCAAACAAATTTTAGGTTTTTTTTTTTTCTTTAGGTTATGTGATTTTATTTCATTTTGAGTTTAATTTAATTCGCTTTTGGGTTTCCTGAATTTGGGTTTTAATTTCTAAGTTTGATTTCATATTTTGTTAAGTTTCTAAGATTTTTGTTGGGGTTTTTTATTGGTTTTTAATTCTAAGATTTTTGTTAGGTTTTCAAGAATTTGAAAACTTTTCTAGGTTTTTCTAGGTTTAGGATGAACTTTTTGGTTGAAGATTGAAGTTTTTGCATGAACCTGGTGACCCGCATGAAGATTTGCTCTTCAAGCTCGACCCGATCATAAATTTTTTTTTTTCTTTCATCATATTTTCTGTTTTAATTTGATTTGATATTACTTTTTTTATTTTATTTTCATTTTATTTTTAGATTTTTTAATTTTTACTTATTATTATTATTTTCATCTTTAATTATTATTTTATTCATTACTTTAAATTGAAATTTTTATTATTTATTTTTTTAAAATGCCTTTATGAATTTCATTTTATTTATTTAAAAATAATAACAAAAAATATTTCTAAAATAAATTCATAAATCTTACCAAACTATTAGAGAATCTCATAAATCAATTTTTTTTTTGTTTTGATTCTACCAAATTATTAGAAGATTTGCATCTTAGATTAAGTCTTACTATACTATTGAAATATTTAATATATTTTTTAAAAATAAATTTACAAAAAAATCTCACTAAATTATTGAGAGATTTGTATCAAAGTAAATCTTACTAAACTATTAAAAGATTTTACTAATTATTTTCTTGAATAAAAATATATTAATGAATTCGACGACGGAGCCTCTTCAGAGTGAGACACTGGTTTTCATGAATACTCTTGATGTTAGAAAATTATTTTAAATTGCTACTAAACTATTGAAGCAAATTTAGGATTAGTTTTCAATAATTAAATGATATGATAAAATTATAAAAATATTTTAAGACTTGGGTAATTTGAAATCAAATTGGTATCATCCTTTAGATAAGCGCTGTAAGAGTGCTATAACTTTCTTCACAAATAATTGCACTATCGAACCTAAAATCTGATTTCGTGAATTAGTATCTACTATTTAAAGATACTTAAGTCAATCTTGAGACTCTTTTTTAAATGTGACAGATTCTATCAAGTAACATATTACACCTAAACAAAAAAAAAATTAATGACAACTCTTTTAATTCATGTTTAGTAATAGGTCATAGATCTATATGTTTTTGACAAAGTAACATAAACAAGTGTGAAAAAAATGTAAAATTAATATCTTTTAGCGCAAAATGGGTAAAAAGTGTCATAACACACCAAGAAAGAGTTATGACAATTCTAAACATAATAGAATGTAAGAACAATTGTAAGAAAGTATTATTTTTACATAAATAATTATGTTGGCAACATAAAATTTTAATTAATTATTATTTTTTAAAATATAAAGAAAATAGTTAAAAATTGAAAAACAAATAGATAATGTAAAATGAGTATCATTTGGTGTAAAAATGAAAAAAAAAGTATCGTAACACAATAAGAAATAGCTATTATAATTCTAAATGTAATTCAAAGTAAGAACAATCATAAAAACATATTATTGTAACGTAAAGAACAATCATAAAAACATATTATTGTAACATAAATAATTAAATTGTCAACACAAAATTTTAATTAATTATTTTTTAAAACATAGAAGAAAAATAGTTAAAAATTAAAAAATATATTGGTAATGTAAATAAGTGAGAAAAAAACATAAAATTAGTATTATTTAGTGTAAAATGGGTATGATTGTTGTAATACAATAAAAAATGTTATGACAATTCTAATTATAATGAAAAGTAAGAGCAGTCATAATAATATATTATTATAACATAAATAATTATATTGGCAACCTAAAATTAGTATCATTTGACCTAAGATAAATAAGAAGTATCAGAACATATTAAAAAAAAGTTATAACAATTTTAAACATAATGAAAAAATAAATGACAGATATTATTGTAAAGTAAATAATTATGTTGACAACTTTAAATTTTAATTAATTATTGTTCTTGTAAATATATAAGAAAAATAACTAAAAATTAAAAAATAAATTAATAATATAAACAAGTGAGAAATGTTAAATTATTATCATTTGGTGTAAAATGGGTAAAAAGTGTTGTAAAACATAAAGAAAGAGTTATAGCAATTCTAAATATAATGAAAAATAAAAACAATCATAAAAATATATTATTATAATATAAATAATTATGAAAGTAATGTAAAATTTTAATTAATTATTATTATTGTATATATATAAGGAAAATAGCAAAAAATAAAACATAAAAAATAAAAAAATAATGTAAACAAGTGAAAAAAAATATGAAATTAGTATTATTTGACGTAAAATGGGTAAGAAGTATAGTAACATACTAAGAAAAAGCTATGACAATAAAGAATATAACTAAAAATTGAAAAACAAATAGGTAATGTAAAAAAGTGAAAAAAAAAGAAAGTAAAATTAGTATAATTTGATGTAAAATAAGTAAAAAATATCATGACATACTAAGAAAAAAATGACAATTCTAAACATAATTAAAAGTAAGAACAATCATAAAAAAAATACATTATTGTAACGTAAATAATTAAGTTGCCAACATAAACTTTTAATTATTTATTTATTTGTAAATATGTAAGAAAAATAGCTAAAAATTAAAAATAATTAGTAACGTAAACAAGTGAGAAGAAATGTAAAATTAATATTATTTAACATAAAATGAGTATAAATTGTCAAAATATGCTAAAAAAAGTTAAGAAATTTTAAACATAATAAAAATTAAGAACAACCATAATAATATGTTTTTGTAGCATAAATAAGTATATTGGTAACATAAAATTTTAATTATTAACATTTTAGGTGAGATGGTGATTTAAGAGGAGGGGTGAATTGGATTTCTCTAAATTATTTTCAAACAATAATTTCAATACAATTGAATGCGAAATTAAAATCAATATTAAAATATGATGCAAATAACAATAAATTGATAATCTTAAAGCAAATATAAGCAATAAAAATGAATGCAAAGTAAAGAGATAGGGATTAAAAAAATCAAATACAAAGATTTATAAAAGTTCGATTCTTATTCTTAAGGTACATTCATCATCTTTCTTGGTTATATTCTTAAGGTACATTCATCATCTTTCTTAGTTATCCATACTAAGGCTTCAATCCACTTAATTTGAAATGAGAATACAATCTTATCTTTTTTTTCCTAAAGCTTAAGATAGAAATCTCTACTTTTATACAATTAAGAGCATACATCACCTATTACTTACAAGATAACTCAAATGTTTTTACAAACTAAAATACCTCTCAAGGTTGAATGTTTATCTAATGAGGTATAAAGAAAATGATGAATGAAATACAACAATATTTTGGATACGAGAAATACAAAGGATATTGAATTTAAACTCTAAATCTTTTAATTTCTTTGAAAGAATGAAAATATGATTTGTTTGATCTTGCTCTATTGATTCATCAATCTTCTTGATGTATTGGAATGTCCAATTTATAGAGGCATTGAGAAACTAGCCATTGAAGAAATGTGAGAAATGAAAACACATAATTTTCTCATTTGAAACTAGTCGTTGGAACACTTTTAGGCACAGGGGATTGATTAGTTTTGATAGGAGATCAATCTGATGCATTAAGGGATCGATTAGTTTTTGAATTTCACTCAATTTTTGACCATTATAGCTGAGGGGATCAATTGGGTCAAGCTAAACTTTAGATTCTGGATGAATAATGCCATTGATTGTCTCCTATTTTACACTATACTCACTAATTTAATCATATATAGAGTTATACAACATTAAATCAAAAACAGTTGGAAGATTTAAAAATTAGACTTAAAAAGCTTTCTATTTATATAAAACTCATCACCTAATTCATTGTATATAAATTATAGTGAATTTTTAAAACTATCCCTTATGTAGTTTTTAGACAACTGCATAGTATCTAGTAAAAATTCAAAATATTTTCTTAAAAAAATTAGATTTTTATTTTGTTTAATTCATTAGAAAGTATACTCAAAGCGCTTTCCAACCATATACAATTTGAATTTTAAAATTTTTTGAATTAATACAAAAAGAAAAGACAAGTTCAATGTTGGAAAACTTTATTCCAATAAAACAACTTTTTTAAGTTTATCTATTTCTCAAAACCAATATTATCAAAATTATATTGAGTTTAAGATGAATATGGTCACTTTAAAAATAATTGTTGGACTTTTATTTAAGCTCAAATAAATAATCTTTAAAAATAGATTTGTTTTGAAAAATATGAAAACAAAGAAATGTTTATTTACACTTTGAAAAACACATTATTTATTTGGTGCTAAAAATAATAAAACTTAAGAACATATACTAAATAAATTTTTTCAAAATCTTACTCAAGCTTATTTAGTTTAATGTTTTATTATTTCAAAATAAAGATTAATTCAATACTAACATTAATTAATTATTATTTCATAAATATCTAAAAAAATAGTAAAAAATTAAAAAATAAATTGATAACGTAAACAAGTGAGAACAAACGTATATATCATTTAGCATAAAATAAGTAAAAAGTCTTATAATATATTAAGAAAGAGTTATGACATTTGTGAACAAAATGAAAAGTAAAAACAATCATAAAAAATATTATTATAAGGGTAATAATTATATTAACAACGTAAAATTTTAATTATTAATTATTCCTATAAATATAAAAGAAAAATAGTTAAAATTAAAAATAAATTGATAATATAAACAAGTAAGAAATAATGTAAAATTAATCTTATTGGAATAAAATGGGTTAGACGTGTCATAACACACTAAAAAAAAGTTACAACAATTCTAAACATGATAAAAAGTACGAACAATAGTAAAAATATATTATTGTAATGTAAATAATTATGATAACGATATAAAATTTTAATTAATTATTGTTATTATATATATATATATATATATAAGGAAAATGGCTAGAAATTAAAAAAATTAGTGATGTAAACAAATAAGAAGAAATGTAAAATTAGTATCATTTGATATAAAATGGGTAAAAACTGTTGAACACAGTAAGAAAAAGCTATAATAATTTTAAACGTAATAGATAATAAGAACAATTATAAACATATACTAATGTAATGTAAATATTTAAGTAAGCAACGTAAATTTTTAATTAATTATTATTTTTATAAATATATAAGAAAAATAACTAATAATTAAAAAGCAAAAAGTAATTAAACAAATAAGAAAAATATAAAATTTGTATCATTTGGCATAAAATAAAAAAGAGTTATGACAATTCTAAATGTAATGGAAGATAAAAACAATGGTAAGAAAATATTATTATAACATAAATAATTAAGTAGATAACGTAAACTTTTAATTTGATTATTATTTTTATAAAATATATAATTAAAATAACTAAAAATTAAAAAACAAAGTGGTGACGTAAAACAGGTGTGGAAAACATAAAATTTATATCATTTGTCATAAAATGAATAAAATATGTTATAACACATTATGAAAAAGCTATAACAATTATAAACGTAATTAAAAGTAAGAACAACTATGAGAAGATATTATTGTAATGTAAATAATTAAGTAGGTAATGTAAAATTTTAATAAATTGTTATTTTGTTAATATATAAACAAAATAGATATAAATTAAAAAAAAAAAGGTAACATAAACAAGTGAGAAGAATCATAAAATTCACATAATTTGATGTAAAATAAATAAAAACTTTTGTAACACATCCTAAGAAAAAGTTATAACAATTATAAACATAGAAAAATGTATAAACAATCATAAGAAGATATAATTGTAACGTAAATAATTAAGTAAGCACATAAAGTTTTAATTAATTATTATTTTTGTAAATATATAAGACAAATATATTAAAGTTAAAAAAAAAAGGTATTGTGAACAAGTGAGAAGAAAAGTAAAATTCCTATTATTTGACATAAAATGGATAAAAAATATCATAACACATTAAAAAAAGAGTTATGATAATTCTAAACTTATTGGAATGTGAGAACAATGGTACGAAAATATTAATGTAATATAAATAATTAAATTGACAATGTAAAATTTTAATTAATTATTGTTCATGTAACTATATAAAAAAATTTAATAAATAATAATAAAATTTTTTTGTAACTTAAACATGTGAGAGAAAATGTAAATTCCATATCATTAGCATAAAATGTGTAAAAAGTCTCTTAACATAATAAGAAAAGCTATGATATTTCTAAATGTAACGAAAGGGAGGGACAATTGAAAGAAAATATTATTATAATATAAATAATTAAGTTAGTAATGTAAAATTTTAATTAATTATTTTTGTAAATATATAAAAAATGACTAATAAATAATCACAAATTTATTAATGTAAATAAATGAGAGGAACAATAAAATTTTTCTCATATTTGAATGCTATCATTATACCATTTTTATTCTTAAAAATTTATTAATGTAAATATTTGTATAGTAATTTTATTTTCTATTGTATAGTAAAAATATTTGTGTAATAGTAAAAAAAAATCATATCTTGATCGAGTGGTGTTTTAAATATGTTGATTTTTTTTATATAAAAAGACACTAAAATTTGCAATCAAAGTATCTATAAAAAAATCATATAAATAAAATGGTACAATGGTAATTTTCATTTTTATGATTTATGTTAATAAATTTCTAAAAGTATAAATAAAAATCATACAAATAAAATTGTAAAATACATAACATAAATAACTAAAAAAATCATTTTAAGATTAAAAAGATAACATAACATAATTTATATTTAAAATAAAAAATAAAAAATATTAAGATGAATGCTAAAATTTGTATTAATTATTTTTTTAATATTGTTATTTGTTAATAATGAAGAAATAACAAAAATATTATTTATTGAAATAATACAAAAAAATGCTATAATTGAATTTTTATTTTAATATTAGTATTTATAAGAATAGATGAAAATAAATATAAAATTGATAATTTGTAATTTTTTTATTTGTCAAATGAATAAAATAAATAAAATAAATTTTATTTTTAATTAATCTATTAATTCGTTCTATTATTTTTCGTTGTTTATCTAAATTTTATAATTTTTTCAATTTTTCATGAGATATCATAATATCCCATAATTTTAAAATAAAATCGGTAAATTAGGAACTTACTGTAAACAAACCCGTCTCCTCTAAAACCTAAAACTTGTTTAGTTCTCCCTTCTGTCTTGACCATTGACTCCAGTTGTCCCCGTTTCCTCTCCCACCCTAAAACCCTAACAAAACCGCCGAGAGCCCCCAAAGAAGATGTCATCTTCCATTCACCTCCGCCACCTCCGCCACCATTCCACTACCACCATCGCAGCCACATCCACTTCCTCATCTTCCATTTCGATTTCCCAAGCCAAAAGCAAACTCCGCACTGAATACGACCCTGACAAAGCCCTCGGAATCTACTCTTCCGTTTCCAAACGCTACTCTTCCCCTTCCTCTTCCCGCTATGCTCAAGACCTCACCGTACGCCGCCTCGCCAAGTCCCGCCGTTTCTCCGACATTGAATCTTTAATCGAGTCCCACAAAACAGACCCCAAGATTTCTCAGGAGCCTTTCCTCTCTACTCTCATCAGATCCTATGGCATCGCTGGCATGTTAGATCATGCCATCAAGACTTTCCATCAAATGGACCAATTTGGTACCCCCAGATCAACCATTTCTTTCAACACCTTGCTCTCTGCTTGCAATCAGTCAAGGCAATTCGATAAAGTCCCCCAACTGTTCGATGAAATTCCCAAGAAATACGTCCGTGTCTCACCTGACAAAGTTTCTTATGGGATTTTAATTAAATCTTATTGCGAAGCGGGTCATCCTGAGAAAGGGCTTGAGGTTTTAAGAGAAATGGAAAGGAAAAGCGTGGAGGTAACTATAGTTACTTTTACAACAATTTTAAATGCTTTGTATAAGAAGGGAAAAACAGAAGAGGCCGAGAAGTTGTGGAGCGAGATGATGAAGACCGGTTGTGAATTAGATGTTGCTTCTTATAATGTTAGGATTTCGAATTTTCAAGGCGGAGAGCCGGAGAAGGTGAAGGAATTAATTGACGATATGAGCAGCCTGGGGTTGAAACCAGATACCATTAGTTATAATTATCTGATGACTTGTTATTGTAAGAATGGGATGTTGGATGAAGCTAAGAAGGTTTATGAAGGATTGGAAGGTAATGGGTGTAATCCGAATGCTGCCACTTTTAGGACTTTGGTGTTTTATTTATGTTTGAATGGGTTGTATGAGCAAGGTTATAAGGTGTTCAAAGAGAGTGTGAGGTTGCATAAAGTTCCAGATTTTAATACGTTGAAGCATTTGGTGAAGGGGTTGGTGATGAACAAGAACATCAAGGACGCGAAAGGGTTAATCAGAACGGTAAAGAAGACCTTTCCTCCTAACTTTTTGAATGCATGGAAGAAGCTTGAGGAGGAACTTGGTTTGCCTTATGGTAATGCTGATAGTGGTGAAGCTCAAGACGCTAGAGAGTCTACAGGTTAGAAGTGAGATTTTAGCTGTTAATTGCTGGTGGTTGAGTCAGCTGCTTTTACTTAATCTGCAGCTGAGCCTGAAATGATTTTTGACTTGTGATGAACTATGCAATCAGCTATGGTAATTTCAGGTGAATCTACCACATAAGCTTGAATGATAATTTTTAGCTTCAGATACTTTTACAGATGTCAATTCTGCTTTAATTGTAAGGATTGATGCTGCTCTTTGCTATTTGTTCGTTTTATTGGTCTACTACTTGTTTTGGAAGGAAAAAAAAACACTCTAATAATCTACAATTCTCTTATTCAATGAATTTTTTGTTTATTTTGCCCATGACATTGAGCTTTGTTCTGTCCCTCTTTAAAAATATTTTTGTTGTTGAATGTTTGCGAGCTATTCCTTGCTATTTTCAATCTGGGGTTACCCTAAGCTCTCTTAACACTAATTTACAATTTCTACTCTGAAAGACTGAAACCAATTAAACGCTGATTTTACATGTTCCTTGAAGCACTGCTCCTCAGAATTTCCAAAAAGGTTATATTTGTTGAAGGCAAAGGCTTGGTTGCTGTAGCTTTTACCTTAAAGAAAATTGGCCACTTCTCCAAGTAAAAGAAGGTCATAGCTCCTTAGGTATAGGATTTCAAATTTCCAGAATTCGTTAGCTGTTGTCTGTCAATTGCCAAGATGATATAGTTGGTACTTGCTAACGTTGTTCTATTATATTATTTTTTAACAAAAGGAGCCGTAATCTAGGGGTAGGAAAAAGAATTGTAGGGTTTGATATTTGAACTGAAAATCTAAAAATGGTTGCATGAATCATTCTGGTAATTTTGTTTTGATTTTAAACTTACATTGAAAAATCAATTGAAGAAATAAATTTATTAAAAAATAAAAATCATATAGTAGCATTTTTTTTTTTTTTTTACAATTTCACAATTAATGCATTACTATTACTTACCAGTAACCACTCAACAAATTTTTTTATTTAAATGCTTGTTATTATGAACATGGGTACATGGGCCAAAGGCCCATACAAAGGGGAAAGAAAAGCCCGTTTTGTGGGATGGGCCGAAAAGCTAAATAAAGTCCAAAGGTTAAAATTGGGCTACCACGAAAAGCAGTCCATCACTTAACCGTTCGTTCTAATTCCAGGTCAGAAATTTCCAGAAAAAACAGGAACCAGAAGACGAGAAAGAGCTTGATCAGGGTTTTAGCAAAGAATCGAAGGCACCAGCTAAAGATAAAGGGAAAGAACAGCCAACCAAAAGCAAATGACTACGCGAATCGCTCCCGGAGTTGGAGCGAACTTGCTTGGTCAACATTCGGCTGAGAGGAACCAAGATGCCACCGCTTACGTCGGCAATCTCGATCCTCAGGTTCTCACTAATTTCTTTTTCTCTTCTTCTTTTAACTTATTTTTTTTAAATTTCTGAATTTCATAGTTTTAAATTTTTTTACTTTTAGGTGTCTGAGGAGTTATTATGGGAGTTATTTGTACAAGCTGGTCCTGTTGGTAAGTTTTATAATCTTAACTTTATCAATTTATTTCGCTTTTAAAGCTACTGAATTTCTATTTTGATTCGAACATTTATATATTAGGGCGTGGTATATTGTTCATATATGAGTTGAATTGTTTGATAATGTCTTTTTTTTTTTTAATTTTTTTTATATCAGTTAATGTTTATGTGCCAAAGGATAGAGTGACAAACTTGCATCAAGGGTATGGATTTGTAGAATTCCGAAGCGAAGAAGATGCTGACTATGTAAATCTTTACTCCTTCATGGACTCTGGCCATTGGATTCCTTTTTTTTATTCTTATTTATTTGCTTTTTGAATAATTAGATTTATTTGGTTGAATTTGTAGGCGATTAAGGTGCTTAACATGATTAAGCTTTATGGCAAACCAATACGAGTGAATAAGGTTTGAAATTAGACTTTGGTTATATTGGAAGTGGGAATAATGTTGCGCTTTTTAGTTAAAGAATCATTTTTTATGATTGTTATGGTTTTTCTATTTTGATTGATGTCAGGCATCTCAAGATAAAAAGAGCTTAGATGTTGGTGCAAACCTTTTTATAGGGAACCTTGACCCAGTAAGTATTACACGATCATTTTAATTGTAATGATTCATGCTGTCATGTGCTACATTTCCTGTTTTAACTGTGATTATCTGGTTACACTTGCAGGATGTGGATGAGAAACTTTTGTACGATACTTTCAGTGCATTTGGAGTAATTGTTACAAATCCCAAGGTACCGACTTTGTAATTTCCATTTTTTCATTTTGTTTGATAGTATGGCATAGATTAATGACCTATGCTTTAAGGGCATGTCTGGATGCCTTTATTTACTTGTTCAGTTATCGATGCGCTGTTGCATCTTGATGTCATTTGAAAGAAAAACAAAGTTTAAAAAAGTGTTGAAGCCTTGTAGATAAAGGGTTAGGGTCGAATGAAAGCATTTACTGTCATAATTTTCTTTTTGTGATTGATGTTGAGATAAAGTTAAAACCAGTGATGTTTAGTAATTGATGGAAGAACAGCTATAGCTTGTAACGTTTCTTAACAATATTTCTATCATAAGGATCCTGGTTTTGCTTAGCATGTCACTCACATGATAGCCTTTGACTAAATGATGGATATAGAGTTGTTAAAGGATGACAAAGGCTGTATTTCTAGAATACATGCGATTGTAGTCTTCAGCCCCATGGTTAAACAAACATGTCCTAGGAAATGCTTCTATTGACATACTAATCACAAGTATATATTAACCCTTATGGAAGTTTATAAACAGATAATTTTGCTGATGCCTATGTGAAATTATTAATATAAGGAGAATTTTCCTTTTAGTGCTTGTCAATTCTTTATACACGTCAAATGGGTGGGGGAGGGTTATTCGAGGAATTCACTTTTGGGTAGATTGACTGAGTAGTGTGGACTTTTTTTGTTATGAGCATACAGATTTACTAAATTAGTTTTGGTTTTGAATATATTTGAATGGTCATGCAATGACATAATCTATTAGATGGACTGGAATGCTCATATGCCTTATTTTTGTTTCAGGAGAACTGAGTGATACGAAAGCTAATAGTGAGTCCTAGTCTCATTCTCATTTCTTGAAAAGCATTGATAGTTGGTTGGGAAAGTGAATAAGAAGTTGACTAAATATTTAAAATAGTTCATTCTTTCTTCAACATTTTGTTTATTCTCCACTATTTGCTAGTGGATCCTGATGTTTACCACTTTCTGACATCAGATAATGAGAGATCCTGAGTCAGGAAATTCACGAGGTTTTGGATTCATCAGCTACGATTCATTTGATGCATCTGATGCTGCTATTGAGGTATGTCTGCATTGTCACTTGCATTTGCTTGAACTATTTCTAAGATTTAATTATGGGAATGTTTAAATTGAACCTTGATTTTGTTTTTCTGGAGTTATTGCAAATTTCAAATTATCACTTGGATTGAACCTTGATTTTGTTTTTCTGGAGTTATTGCAAAGTTCAAAGTATCACAATTGTTTACATTCTGCCTTCAGTTGTAGGAGCCTCATGGAAAGTTATTTTAGAATTTAAAAGCATAACTTCTCTGATTAGTTTGCTTCTTGGTGTTATCTCTTTAACAATTGGGAAGGACTTGATACTATTCTCCACTTATCTGCTAATTGGGATTAGTTATTGATGTTGTCACTGCTTCCATGGTTCAATATGTGATGTGACAGTCTTAATAACTTTGATTTGGTTTCATCTCTCTTGCAAAACGTGTTAAGTTTTTCTCTTTGATGTTGCAGGCAATGAGTGGCCAATACCTCTGTAACCGTCAAATAACGGTCTCTTATGCATATAAGAAAGACACAAAAGGCGAACGCCATGGCACCCCAGCAGGTGGGTTTTTTCACCCACCTCGCCACCTTCACCCTTTTTCCGTTTATTACTTTTTATATTTTGATTGTCTTTGCCATATAGATGGTATGTAGGTTTTTGAAACTTTTTCCTCCTGATACAGAGAGGGTTTTGGCTGCAAGCAATCCAAATGCCCAGAAGAGCAGGCCCCATACTTTATTTGCAAGTGGACCTCCAACGCTCCCCTCTGGTCCCCAGGCCAATGGTGCTATAGGAGCACCAGTGCCTCCACGACCTTTTGCTAATGGTACTGTTCCTCCAGGCCCGATGCCAGTGGTTCGTCCTCCACCGCCTCAAAGTGTACCCTTCCCACCAATGCAGCTTACGGGTCAAGCACCTTGGCAGGGTCAACCAGGTCAACCAATTCCTCCCCCAATCATGCCTCCGCCTATGCAGTTCAGACCACCTCCACCAAGCATGCCACCACCACCTCCACAGACAGTGTCTGCTCTTTCAAGGCCTCCACCACCAATGGGAATGGAAGCACCACTTGTTTGGCCCCCACCACCACCACCACAGCAAATGGGTGGAAGGCCCCCTATGCCACAGATGTCAATGCCACCCCCTCCTCCACCGCCATCTATAAGTTGAAGATCCAAAAATCTATTTTCTCTTCATTCGCTAATTGAAGTGCATTTTTGTTTTTTTACGGTAATACAAATGAAATGAATTGTTATCTATTGATGTGTGAAAATAATGAATATTAGACTTTCGGTGGGATATCTCCTTCCGCGTTTGCATATTCCTCACTTTTAACATGTTATGTCTTTGAAGAGTTGTGAGTGGGTGTGGTAGTCTCAATTGAGGACCAATAAGGACTGTCAAGTCGGTGATTGAGAAGTTTCTTTGGTTTTTTAAACGAGATGGATTAAAATGACCACTCCAATTTTTTTTTTGAAGTATGGATAAAAATGTAGATGAATTTTACAAAATGCAGTTTGTGAATTCTAAATAAAAAATTGAATAAATTAAATCTTAAAATCTGATGTTATGGACAAATATTTAATCATTGATATGAAAATTTGAAGTATTCTTAACAAAATTTACTTACTTTTTATTTTTTCTTTGATCCGATATTGTAGAATTATACCAAAAGAGTTTTTATTTTTTCTTTAATCTGATATTGTAGAATTATACCAAAAGATTTTAATCATCCTTTTTTTCCGGCTCCAATCAAGAAAGAAAAAAAAATTTTCATGGGCTTCGGTGAGTCCCGTCAGCTTTTCTGTTTAGGGGTGGGCTATCAAGGTGAACTTGCTGGCTCAAAAGTTGGGCCAAAAAGCATTCAACTCCTATTAGGCCTAAGCAACGCTTAGAAATAATTTATTTCTAGAGCAATGCATTAACCCTGTTCTCCTGGGTCTAATCTAAACAAGTTCTAAACTTCTAATCTAAAAACCTGTCTGTCATTTTCCCAAGAAGGCAAAAAACCAAAGCAGATCTCCATGTAATTCTAATTCTAATCTCAAATCCCAAGGTTGAAAAAATGGAAATTCCAACAATGAATCTCCCATGAACTTCCATAACAATGCTATAACTGACTTACAACAACATGATGGGATTAAACACTAAACAGTAAAAAGGGTGAGCAAGCATGCTTGGTATGTAGTATATATCCTATATAATTCGAAAAATCAAATCTCAAGCAGCTGCCAAAAGAGAAAAAAAAAGAAGTAAATTTCTTTTATTTGTACGGGAGGAAATGCGCATCTCAGTCAGTTTCTTCAGGCTGGTAAAGAATCTCTGATACCGTGTACGCCCTTCTTTATTGAAAATTTCCTTTTCTGGCAGTTAAAAATTTTAGCCTCTCTTCTCTCTCTTTGTTTGAAGGGTAAAAATGATTTCTGAAACATTGGCCTTTGGCGTTCCATTTACGAAACAGAACTGACAGCTATGAAATCAACAGCTTAGTTAAACTGCAGATATAAATTATAAGCAGGGGATTGATTATTAATGGACATAGAAATGCACATGCAGCAGCAGACGAGCGGTTCATAGGTGATTTTACAATATTAAATAATGTACATTTCTTTTTCTTTGCAATTTTGCTTTATGGTGATTTTACAATTAGACTGCAAAGAAAAAAAAAAAAGAAGAAAACCCTCACTTCTTCTCTCGTGTACTTTATTGACTTTAACATCGAAATGCGTCTCAAATTATTATGTTCGACGCCACCCCCCCCCCCCCCCTTAACTTTTCTTCTTGCGATAGTTCACGTTAGCATTTGCTGTCCTTTCTTCCTTCAGCAAACTTTTACATCAGCAATAATTATAAAAAGAAAATTATGATCATCTCTACATCTCGACGCGTCATTTTCGTGATTACTATGGAACATTAAGATAATGATTTCCCTTTTTTCTAGGAAATTAATACATGAAATAAAGAATCAGGGTCAATATTAGGTAGTGGGGATGATAGCAGGGTTCAGTCGAGTGAAAAGAAAAAAATACGTGCAAGGGAATAATCACCGTTCAAAGCAGAGAAGATAGAGTGATTGGAAGCATCAATATCAAAAATTAAGAAGCATTAATTTATGATTGATCATGTCCATGAGTGGTTTCAATCATCAATTCATCACTCGTTTATTAGGCCGTATAGCACTCTTTTTTTCACCGTGTGGAAATTGAAAAACTCCTCTGAGGTTCATATTTTGGTTCAATCTCATTTGCAAACAGAATGTTTCTGCAAAAGTATCAACACTTTCATGCAGGTAGAACGATGCAAATGGGAAGGAATGCATTGAAGGCAGCAGGTGAAATTGAAAAGCAAAAGAAAAAGTAATCTGCAATAAATACAGAAACCAAACGGCATTTGCAGGCCTCGCGCATGCAAAAAAGATATATAGCAATAACTTTGCTATACTTCATAGGTATGGGGACTGTGTATTATATATGGACCCATTTTCTTACATATCAGCCGGCGCAGCAAACTCAAAATTCATATATTCCTCTATGTTTTGTGGTTATAAGAAAGTATGTGTTTGACTCATAATTATTAATATTTAATTTTTGATCATTTAAAATATAAAAAAAAAATCATATTTTTGCCTTTAACTTTGATTCTATTAGAATTATAACAGCTCTAATTTCAATTGTTAGACAAAAAACTTCAATTCAATTAAATAATTAAGTTAGTAAAAATAAAATTTAATAATTAATCAATCATATAAAAAATAATAATTTAATATAATTCAATTCAATCGATTTACGTTTACAGATGAAAAAAAAGATCCAGTTATTATAAAAATTATAAATACATCAACAAATCAATTTCATTCACAATCAATATATTATGGATCATCTCATTTTTTATAGTCTTAGAGAATATTATCAACTCGAATAAATACATACTTATGTGACTTATTATTCCTATGTGAATTTTTTTATTTTTCTCCAGTCTATTCAAATATATACAATTATAAGGATTTTCTCAATCTCTTATAGCCTTATAGAGTGTTTATTTTATAAAACTTCATAACTTTTTTACATCTTTTTTTCATATTTAATTCTATAAAGATTTCAACTATTTATAAGCCTATTAACTTGCGTATTAAGAATATATTTTTTAAAATTTTTAATTTTACAAATCTTTTTATCCATATGTAGTTTATCTTAAAATATCTCAAATAAATTTTTTATAAGATTTGAATAAGTATTCTCAATACATTGACAATCAAATATTTAAATACATTCACTTAAAATAACATTACTATAATTTTAAGCAATGTTATAATGCGATGTAGCTAGTATAAATTGATAATATTATAATACAGTTTATCAACACATATGATAAATAGTAAGTGTTACCCATGGGGAGTTCATTTAAGTAAAAGTTTATGTAAGGAAAGGTTATCTTATTTCAAGCATGTGAATATTTACACTGAATTTATAAATTATTTGTTAAAAAATATTATTGATGGCAAAAATCAAATTTAAATTTTATTAGCAAAATATTTTATTTTATCGATTCAACCAACCTGCATTTGCCATCAAGGATCTAGTGATCTAGAGTTAAGTCCATAAAGAACTGAGAAATCATGCAAAGATTAATACTCCTATATTTTACAATAACGTTATTAGAGTCACTAAAGCATTATTAAAATTTGATAATTACTCGTTCATTAACTAAGACCACAAGAAACTCGAAAACTAGTAGATTTTCGAGAAAACAAAGTCTCGCAAATCTCGGCAAAAGCCTGAACAATAACCCCGTGATGATGCCTAGAATTCAAAGACAAGAAACAATGCAAGAGTTGTTCCAAATCTTTCTCTTCAAACATTTGTTTCTCTAATATCATCTCCATCATCGACTTCTTAAAATCCTCGTATGGATCCTCCGATTTCTTCACCACAGCGAAACTCTCCCTCACTTTCCCATCCACCGTGCACGGTATCATCCGTTGCAAAAAGCACGACAACCTCGCTGGAGATTCGCTCTGTGACGACGATAATCTCACCATCAAATTCCTTTTTGCCTTCTTAACTTTCTGGTTTTTCTTCTTCTTCCTTTTATGTCTCATAGGTATAATTGTTTCGCGTATTTTTTCTAAGTTGGTGTTGAACTCTGAAGAGGAATCAGTGGAGAAGCTCCTAGACGATGAAACTAGGGTTTCTGTTTCTTCGTAGTTAATGCCATCGTCTTCAAAGCTTTCGCTGCTAAATAATCCGCTGTCGGCTGACGAGGTGCTTATCCGGATTTTTGACTTCGTTTTCTTCTTTTTGTATCGTCGTTTTTTCTTCTCCGTGTTAGGAGGCGGTGGAGGAGGAAACAAGTCATCGTCGTTTTCAGATATATTGTAGATTTTGCGACGGGGGGTCTCGTCAACTTTAGCAATGAGGTGCCATCCATCTTCTTTTTCCCAGTGAAACTCCGGTGTTGGCGGCGGCGGTGATTCGCTGCGGTCAGTTTCAGAGAAGTACCGTGCGGTTGGTCTTGATCCGAGACCACAGCCGATTGAAGAGAACGCTGAGAAAACGTGGCGTTTGAGGGAGGAGTAATGAGGCAGCTTTGTCGACTTTGGTTGCTGTGGGCATGGGGGTAAATGGGGGGTGATAGGCTTGGGGTTGACTGAGGAAATTCTGAAGAACGAAGGGACAGGATTTGATGGGAGATCAGAAGGGTTTTTGGAACGGCAAGATTGAAAGGAAGGAAAGACGCCGGATATCTTCAGCTTGAAACGTTTCGCCATTTTTTTTGTAGATTATTTTTGAGTTAGTTCTCTTTAGGTTTGTCTCGAAGCGATATGCATTGTCCAAGACATGAACTGTTTTGTCTGAAAAAAAGTCGAGTTTATATATAGAGAAGTTGTGGCTTTTTTAAAAAAAGAAAAAAGGGTCTCGCAAATTTATTGCTTTTCTTTTATTTTTTAATCTTTTTGGTGGTTCCTAATTATTTTAAGTTTTAATTAATTCAAAATCAAATTAGATTGAATATCATAAAAAAAATAAAATCTCTAAAATCTATTTTTTTATTTATAATACTCAAAATTAAAATTTTACTTTAAAAAAATCACTTTTCTGGTTACTCGAACCAATAGGTATTGGTTTTCTTTTATTTCTTTATTCTTTATTCTTCCATGTCATCTGCTATGGTGAGAATAAATTAATGAACTTGGGTTGCTAGAGCTTGTTTTGCTCTAAGGAAACAAGAAAATAAAGTGAGTTTGTTAATGTCGTGTTGAAGCGATCAAGCTTCTCCTCTTGTTTTGACCACTTTTCCACGCTATCAGGAATAGCGTGATTGATTGATATTTGATTTAAAAAAAAGGATCATCACTGGAAAGGAAAGTTCTCTAACTATGTAGGAAGGAGATTCACACCCATCACCAGCAATAATAATTTGATTAAAAGAATGAATTATTGTGAACTTGCCCATTAATCTTGACTCATGGAGCTTATGATCAAGCCCATGTTTTCAACGGGCTAGAGCTAGGTTTAGACTTAAGAGCATAGCAATAATTTCTACCTCCAGAAAAATGTAGGTTAATTCTTAATTGTGTAAACACTATTCATATACCCAGCCATGGTCAAAATCTTAATCTATTACCTCTCCCCGACCCCGTTGGTAAAGAAATGCATACAACGAAGCTCCTTTGATAGGAATTTATCAGTAGCAATAATGGGCACTGGCGATTATTGATCAGTGCAAAATTTTTTGTTTTCTTTGTGTGTTTTTTTTTTAAATGGTGAAGAGGGGACTAAAATAACAAAGCAAGAAAGACGATGGAGGGCCAGGGCTCGGAAGCAGGAGGCTCATCAATAATAATCATGTCGATCACTGCAAATGTTAGGAATCGAGTAGTCGTTTTTATCAAAAGTAGTGCCCATCAACAATATTCATTGCCTATACCCTTCTCCAAAGGAACAAGTACATATACATACATATACATATATATGTATAATTCCTAACATCTGGAAGCAAACTAATGGGAGAAGTTATGTCCGGATATCCATATATACGCTGGATATGTCGGGCACTCGGGCTAATTTACTGCGGCAACACTGTCATATTTTTCATTGCTTGAAGCAAAAACACAGTGTAAGCCGCCTTCAGAGTTAACAGAGGGAACATCTAAAAATTTGAGGATGTAATAACGATGATGATATATATTCCGGGGCTATATATCTCGGTGTATACAATCGTACTCTGACGGATTCTATTTCTTTCCCTCGTTACTCGTGGACCTTTTTGCAAATTTTTATTAACTTAAATTTGGGTTTTCATATTAGTGATTCGATTACTAATTAGTATATCATATTGGATTAGTGAATCCAACTCTTTAATTTTATTCTACTCGTATTCTTTTGAAGGCCAAATCAATAATGTGAGGACAAACCGACAAAGTTGGTATCTGAAAGTTGGATTTCCACGGTTGTTCGCTTCCCAAGTAAAATAATTTCCAATTTCTTTATTTTTTAAGACCTTTGGAAGAAAGGAGAAAAAGATTTCCAGTTTGAAGTTTTCTATATTGAGAAAATAGTTTATAGTTTTTTATTCATATTACCCCATGCTGGGCATGGTATATCATTTTTTAAATCATAAAAAAAAAATGATATCAGTATAATATATATAATATTTATATTTGATATATTATTAGTATATAAATTTTTATATTATCAATAAATTAAATGATATCATCTCATTAATAAAATGAATCAGATAATATTACTTCATTAATGAATAAATTTTTTGTAAATTTTTATTTTATATATTTATTTTAAAAATTAATATTTGCTCATTAATGACGTGATTTCATATGATTTACTAATAATGTATGAAGTTTATACACTAATATTGTATTAAATATAAACTCATATATATATATTATTCAATTATTAATGTTGCATTTTAAATGTTAATGCAAACTGTACCATAAGTTTATTGTTTTTTCTTTTCCCAAAAGGAATCCATTTTTAAAGCAAAAGCTTGCATGCATGGGAAATAATAAAAAAAGAAAAAGAAAAAAACCAAGCTATAAAACATAGTTAAAAAAACTCTCATTTAAATATAGTTAAGTTAGATCCATTCAGATATTCACATTAACTCATTAATACTAGAGTCATTTTAAGATAGAAAGATTTCAAATTTGAATTTGAGTTATACTCTAAAAAATAAATAAAAATAAAAATACTATTAATCATCATCACCATCATTGAAATGCAGTTATATATAGTATAATTTATAAATTGTTTTGATGTAACAATTAATTTCATAGATTCCATATACTATTATATGACTATTTTACGATGTTTTTACAAGTTGAATTGAGTTCTAGCTTATGGAAAAATTATAAGCTAATTTTTAAAAAAAATCTTATCTTAACTTTGTTATCCATTTTTACAAGCTGGTTTACTTGAATTAGGGATTAATTGTCATTTGGAAGATGGGATTGTATTGTTGAAATATCTTTTGCAATAATTTCTCCATAAGCAGAGAGGAGCCTAATGGGAGGGAGCTGCCTAGCCAAAGCTCCAGTCAAGTAATCCTTGGCATAATCGCCACCCCATAAAGTTATTGTTCTTGAATGATGGGTAAAAATTTTCACTGTTAGCACTTTAGCACCTGTCTTGTCTCAGATATTAAATGGTGATTTAATCCCTCCCCTTTCATTCTTTCTTCTTCCCTTCTGAAAAACTTCAAACGCGTGCAACCGGAAAAGGGGAAGGCCAGACTTTTGTATTGTGAAGGATTTAATAGAAATAAATAAATAAATCTATGGGGCAGAGAGTAGACTGTCAGTAAGTCAATCCGAAGAAGCTCCTCCTCTATCACAGGGTAGGGATCCAAGGAAACATAATCATCCAAATTCCAAATGTTTTCCCCCTTTATTTTCCCTTTATCCTTTTAAAAGGGACAGGGTTCATATTGGCAAAAGAAAAAAGTGCTTCTTCAGCACTCAATTGTCTCCAACATGGTTGCCTCCCTGGAATTCCCAAGCTAGTCAGATATCTTAGCCCTCATCACAGACTTTGAAGTCTTTTTACCCCCACTCCCCGAGTCTCAAACATTGTCGGTTTTTGAGTTTCTTTGAAATTTCGAACGCTAATAAGGCTCTCTAACAGAAGGGTAGTCCTAGTTTTTTGGGTTAGGCTGGCCGTGGCCTTGTAGCTTAAGCGTTGCATTTCAATTTTCAACTAGTTGTTCCTAGGTATTGGGCTTAATGGTTCAAGACTTCAAGTACCTCTATGAGGACTGAGACTTCCTTTCAAGTGATCATGGGGTTGGCTACAGATTGTTTAATAACCCAATAAATGTGTTGTCATGTAGACAAGGGGCTGATATTGTTGCTGATTCATGGATTTAACATTTTTTTTTGGGTTATTTTCAGCCATTGCCACACTGACGGATCTATCTTTTCTGAATAAGAAACTGGCAGATCCAATCTCCCCCAAAGGCTCAATAAATAATTTGCAATGCCTAAACAGGCTAAACTTGAAATTTTGATTACCAATTGGGCCATAAATCAAAAGGGGTGAGCGATAAGGCAATCATGTTAAGCTCAGCAATATGAGTTCAAGGCCTTCACGAGCCACCATAACCAAACCTAGTAACGTTCTTTTTTCAGGCTCTCAATCGAAGAGTCAATAATTTAACGAAGCTCCATTTGGAATGCACTGCACTATCGGTGGAGGTGCGGTTATAATCAAACGTTGTTTAGTGGAGACTCAAATGAGCTTTTGGTGTGGTGAGATCGGTGCCGATTGATCATTAGATTTTTTTTCAGTAATCTAGCTCATCACAACTTTATTTTTTCATTTTGATTTTTATTATATATCATTTTGTTTTAATATCTTTAATAATATATTTTTTTTCATAATAATTCACCTCAAAGTCACTTAATTTTTATATCCAAATACGTTTTTTATCATTAATTTTAATAATATTATTAAAATAATTAATTTTACTTCTATCATTATTTTTAATCACATCAAAACTAATCTTATAATCTTCCAAATGCACCCTAGAGTACATGGAAGAGCGCTTTGAAAAGAAGCTTTTTCTGGGCACTAGGCATTAGCATTGCGTGATTGCATCTACATCCTACATATATTTTTGTAGCTTTCTTTTCCATAGGGCTTGGTCCCATCACCTGGTTTTTACAATTCTGAGATATTTCCTCTGAAGAAAAGGGCACAAGGGGCCGGTATTGGTGTGGCTGTCAACAGGCCTACGAATGCCACAATTTCCATGAACTTTATCTCAATCTATAATGCATTTATTATTGGAGTCCTTTCGTTTGCTGGAGTAGCTCTATTGGCCTGGTGGTTTTCTTCTTTCTATTGCCAGAGACTAAGGGAAAGTCCTTGGAAGAAAAAGAGAAACTCTTCACCAGGAATCCAAGGCCTAAAAACGAAGGCTTCGAAATTCGGCCAATAAGCAATGTTTCGTATATGATTTAGTATTGTTGACAGTGATATCTAAGCAAGAAACTGCAAAATTTTCGGGTTTTTTTCTTTGCATAGAAATACTATGTTGGATTAGTGTAACAAAGTTGATTAATATTACTTTCACTTCAATTTCGAAAATAATACTGTCTTTGCACACTTACTTCCCCCCCCTCTCTTAATTTCTCTTGCCTATCTCTTATTGGTGTGAAATCTTTATCCGTTTTTCTCATTTTGATATGTGAAATCTTAACTTTTAACCTCTGCCTATGAAAATATAGCGACCTTTGGTAGAAACGAAGTGGCAATTATGGAAACGGCCAATCGCCTAGTGAAAAGAAACCGTCAACTATATTCCGGTACAAAGGAATAAAATGTAAAAGCAATGCTCGAAAACAATATATTTCATCTGGATATTTCTCGTTACCACAATATTAATTGTAATCCATGCAACTTTCCTTGGATTCAGCTGTTTTTTGCGGGAGAAATTTGTTCCAAAATCTTGATTTTGAAGATTAATGGAGTTTTCTAAGAGCGTTTCAAAATATGCATTATCAACTTTCTTCTTCCATAAAAATAGTCCATCCATGATGCACCATAACGATATGTAAGCTGGTCTTCTAAATCAACGGAATTTTGGGCTCAAATCTCAAAGGCTTTAAGCCAGTCCAACCAATACTGAATCAGCTCGAGATATATAAATCGTGCCCACACGACTCCTACAAGCAAGGAGAGCCCTTTAGGCAAATTTCTTGCTTTCATTTGCCCCACATATGTCCTTTTTTCACTCTCAGGAAAGAGATCCTGGAAGAGTAAGGATACTTGGTTTTTTTACACAAATTCTCTCTTCCTCTTGCGTCTCTAACAAAATCACTAATTTCTTCATTATCTATCTTCTTTTCATTTCGTGTCTATCTCTGAACTTGTTAAATGAGGAAACTTTGTCCTAATATTGACAGAGATGATGGCCTTGAGACAGTTCTCGAGGTCCCAGTACCGGAAGAAATGTTCACCAGCATGGGAAGCAATCTTCAAGTGCGTTTGGAAAACATGTTAACATGGATGAAGGCTCAAACTTCTGATAAGTGGTCGCAACCTGGTGTTGCAGGTCGGATTAACGAGCTACGCTTCCTTCTTTACCTTGTTGGATCTCCGCTTATCCCTCTCCAGGTGCAATTGGGTCACTCTGTTCACAAGCCGGTCAAGGATAACTCAATTGTAAGCATATTATTACCCTCTTAAGAACTCTTCAGCCACGTTTGAATGTACACTTCCTTGCTTAAATTCTACAATATTTTGTCATAAACCAATCCTCAGAGATTGAATTCCTTTTTTTAGCATTACTCTCTTAAATTGCCTTGAATTAAATAACAAAGATTAGACATTTTCTATTGAATTCACGTTTTAAAGAATAGTTTTAACATAGATTAAGAGTTAAGACAGAAACGTGAGTCAAACACACAAAAAACTTGTTTTCAAATAACTTTTCAACAGAAATGAGTTTGATAAATAAATTTAAATGTGAATAGATTTGGAAAAAAAGTGTTTTTATTAAGGACTTTTATCATTGACTCAAAATTTTTCCCCTCCCCAGCAAGCTTCAACAGCAAAATACATTGTGCAGCAGTACATAGCTGCTACAGGTGGACAACAAGCTTTAAACGCAGTGCATAGCATGTGTGTAACCGGTCAGGTGAAAATTACTGCATCAGAGTTTCACCAAGCAGATGCAAGGATTAACGTGAAGAGCACGGAGGAAATGGGTGGATATGTGCTCTGGCAAAAAGATCCAGACTTATGGTGCTTGGAGCTTATAGTATCAGGATGCAAGGTGGTTTGCGGAAGCAATGGCAAACTTTCCTGGAGGCATTCCTCTAATCAACAAACTCCCATTTCAAAAGGTCCTCCTAGACCCTTGCGCCGTTTTCTTCAGGTATCTTCCTTTCATTCTCATGATCAAGTTTATACATACGATACAAGCATTTCTTCGATACCTAAGATGCTCCCAACTTTTCATTTTTCTTGAAGTGCTAATGTCCAATACATATCCAACAGATATGGGTATGAAAGTCAACTACACGAAAAGAAACAAAAAATTAAAGCAAAAATTAAACATATTTGTATCCGACCCTCACCCAAAATCCAAGTGGCATTGTCTTTCTCCTCAGCATTGACATTAATCAGCAACAACATTTAATTTGACTGGTTTCTTTTTGTTTGTCCATTCTTTGAGTAGGGGTTGGATCCAAGGTCTACGGCCAATTTGTTTATAGATGCAACATGCATTGGAGAGAAAATTATAAGCAACGAAGACTGCTTCATCCTCAAGCTTGAGACAAGTCCAGCTATCCGTGAGGCTCAAAGCGGACCAAACTATGAGATCATCCACCACACAATCTGGGGCTATTTTAGCCAGAGGTCTGGTCTCTTGATTCAATTTGAGGATTCTAGGTTATTGATGATGAAAACCAAGGATGACAACGATGTGTTTTGGGAGACTCGGACAGAGTCAGTGATGGATGACTACAAGTATGTTGATGGTATTAACATTGCACATTGTGGTAAAACAAGCGTCACGGTGTTTAGATATGGAGAGCAATCTGCTAACCACAAGAGACTGATGCAAGAGAAATGGAAAATTGAAGACGTAGATTTCAATGTATGGGGTTTGTCAAAGGATCATTTTCTGCCTCCATCTGATCTGCAGAAAACTTAAGATTTATAGTTTAGAGTATAAGGAGAGGAAATTTGCATTTTTTTTTTCTTTTCACTTTTACGAAGATGGTAATGAAAAAGAATGTGTATATATAGAGAATTTCAAAGCATTATTTTGGTATGTTCGAGAATTTCAAAAGCACAGTTATGATTGAAAATGAACATAACTAAAAATGAACACTTCGTAAATATATTTAATATTTATTTATTTATGTAAAATTAATAAAGGATCATAAATAATATTTTTAAATAATTAAATAAATCACAAATATAATAAAATTCAGTCAACATTTACACTCTAACAACGGCTGGGGTAAAAGATCAGGGAGATTTGCATCATCTTGACCGCTGGCTTTATAATGGACAAAATCGGACGACGACCGTTGCTGGCAGGATCTTGTCCGTATCTGGTTTAGGCCAGGGATTGATGATCTCTTATCATTTGGATAAGAAATTAATATAGGCCGCTGATTTGGGTGCAGCTACGGCGTTACTTTGCTTGGAGAGTTCCTTAATATTACAAGAGGACATGTTATCTATAAATATTATAATATCATTAATTATTTATAATTTATAATTATATAAAATAAATTTATATTTATAAATAACAAATTTCTACATAATTTTTTATTATAATATCATAATTATAAAATTATAAATGAAATGCTCTCCCGTTAGGGTACCTTTTAACACTAAATAAGGAATAAAACCCAAAGCCTAAACCTTTTTCTACGGGGCTGGGCGCCATCAGGTTTACAGCCAGGATGTGTTTCCTATGAGATTACTAGCCCAAGGGGCAAGTTCAGGAGCGGCGGTTAATCTGATTACACGTGGCTTAACTTTGTTGGGTTTCCTATCATTATAGGTTCTCATCACGGTTCGGAGTCTGTTTCTGTTGTTCACGGAATGGCATCAGTGGTGTGGTTGTATTATTTATAAGCTACTTCCGGAAACACATGGAAAATCCCTCGAGGAGAAGGAGAGATCGGATGTGCTGATGATGTTAGCATATCAGGCTATTTAGAATTATCAAAGACCGGTGGGCGCGTGGCAAGATAAAACGTTTTGATGGTCATAAATCTCAGCCTTCGATATAAAATTGCAAGCATTTCGACCATCTTCCTCACTGAAAAATAATTTCACTTCAAACATAACCAAACCTTGAAAATAAAATAGAGATTATAAGATTTCGCTATTAACTATTAAATAATAATAATAATAGTTGAGTTTCGCATTATTCAAATTTCAATTTTTAAAATTCAAATATATAATTTAATTTAATTAATTCATATAATTATTTATAAAAAATAATATTTAATAATTTTAAATTTTAAATCTTATTATTTATTTTTATTTTTCAATTGTGACTTATTTTATATAAAAAAATTAAATTTCTTGAAAAAAAGTTTTTTGATTATGATTTGGGTTGCTTTACTTTACTAGATTATTCCAAAAAGTTTTTCTTCCATTTTTTCTTTTATTTTTTTAATTTTTTTTGTATATAAATTATTGCTAAAAATTCAAAAAAGATGGGAAAGAAAATAACTTTCCAAGCTGGCTTATTGATTAATCAACTCTTCTTAAGCTTTTGGTGGAAACTATAAAAAGTAGTCTTTGCAGAATATTTTACTAGAAAAAAATAAAATCTAAAAATTATTCTATTAATTAGGTGTATATTCTACATGTGTCATGTTTTTGAAGATTATTATTATTTACTTTTTTTTTCTCACTAAGCCTAGTATTAAAGCCAGACATTACAAGCAAGATATCAATTAAAATATATTGTTTTGGAACTTTATATTAATTTATGATTAGTTTTGTATATTTTAATGATATATGGTTGTCTACTTGTATAATATAATTGTAGATATAAATAAAAAAATCCATTTATACTAATATAAATTTTACAATTTTTTAATCATTGGATTAAAATTAAATTTATGATTAATTTGAATCAAAATAATATTTTTAATTTTAGTTGTTTTAATCAAAAAATAAAAAAATTAAAAGTTATATTGACATAAGTAGATCCATACTCATAAATAAATATATTATTAAATAAATATATTTAAAATTTAACATTTTATATTAACTTATAAATTTCAAATTTAAATCATCAAAAATAAAAAGTTTGAAATATTAGGAAATAAAAAAAGTATAAAACTCAAAGCTTAATTTGATTAAACTCATGAAAATAAAAAAGATGATTTTTGTGATTGTGGCTAAGTGACTCAAAATTCATTATCTCGAATTGATTCCATAAAATAAAAACTCAAGTAATAAAATAAAAATAGTAATAGATAAGGAAACCTTAATTTGCTTTTCATCTATTATATTTTACAAGATTTGCTAATGAGTCTCATAAGAGCACTGCTTAAGATTAATTAAGATACTGTGCTAAAAAAATTAAGATAGTATTATTTCAGTCCTATAGTATTATTTCGGTCCTATTTTCTTTGTTCAAATTTTTTTTTTTTATGTTCAGAAACTATGTTATTTTTTCTTTTTGAACACATGGTTTTTTTTTATTTTTAATAAATTCCAAAATTTTTAATTTTTTATATTAAAAATATTCATTTTTATAAAAAAATAAAATTTTAAGACAAAATACATTAAGTCATTTTTTAAACTTTGTAAAAATCATATAGGGGCAAAAAATAGAAATAATGGAGTATTTATAATAATATTTTTGCATTAAATGAATAAATAAGAGTTAATGTGATAATTTCAACTTATTAAATATGTTGGCTTTAATTGGAAAAAAATGATGGCTTCAGAAAGTGTCATTCGGACTATTTAATAAAGTTTATATTTTATTAAAAAATTTTGAATTTCGGCAAAAAAAACATATTATTATCATTGACGTATGTAAAACTCAGGTATTAATAAGTTGAGGAACATAAAATACTTGGAAGGAGTATCAAAAAATTATTACCAGCAAAAAGGAAATGGAATCTCAAAGTAGGAGAACGACGTCGTACATATGACAATGAGAAATAGACAAGTACACAGCAAAACCGTTAAATCTCTCATCACATTCACATCAGCGGTCAATATCGCTCCCAAATGAGATAAAAGGTCAAATAAAGCGATATTAATCTAGTGTGGTGGCCCGCAAATAAGAACATACAACGATTGATTCCTGCCCCTCCGAACGGCAAATCCATTAATTAAAGGCAAATCAAGATAAATCCCTTTGTTTCCTTCCCAAAACCAAACTCCATTTCTTACTGCTAAGCAGACCAAACAACAAAAAAATAATATATAAATTTCCAGCGGCAAAATAGAAAATAAAAATAATTGTTTCCATTTTGATTCGAAATGAAGGAAGATGACTGTCAGCCGACGACAACGGCAACGAATGTGAAAAAGGAAAGTTCAGATTCGAGTTTATTTGGTAAAGGCCGGTACAAGTTCTGGGCATTAGCGGCTATTTTATTGCTGGCTTTTTGGTCTATGTTCACCGGAACCGTTACTCTCCGGTGGTCAGCCGGTAACCTCAACCGTCTTTCCGATGATCTCGGTAGCCCTATCCACGACGATCTAGATGTCCTCGTATGTTCCTCTCAATTGTTTTCTTTCTAATTTTGCATTTGTCTAAATTTTTTGTTCTCAATTTTTTTTTTCTTGTTTCCTTTTTTGTTAGGAAATGGAGGAGAGAGAGAAGGTGGTGAAGCACATGTGGGATGTGTACACTAACAGCCGTCGGATCAGATTACCGAGGTTTTGGCAACAAGCGTTTGAGGCTGCCTATAAGGAGTTGACTAGTGATGTGCCTGGGGCTAGGGAGGCTGCAATCACTGAGATCGCTAAGATGTCCGTACGCTCCGTAGATCTTGATCCTCCTCCCATCCAATCAACGGTGAGGATTTAGGGTTTTTTTTTTTCCCCAACGATTTGCTACAAGTTATCATTTTTTTTCGTTCTTAGCTTAGTTTCTGGTGGTCAAGAATAATTGTCGCTATACATGCGCATAAGTATTTGATTGAACACATGAATAATTGGCCAATTTACATATATGTGACCAAAAAAGCAACTAGGTTTTCCGCTAATTACTTTTGGCCGTTTGTTTAACCAGATTTTCCCTTCAATAGAAATTATTCTAAACCTATTACTGGTTTTGCTATATTGGGCAAGATTTCGTTTTGTATGAATTTGATTTCTTTTGGATATGACAAGAAAAGCAACAAGATTGCCCTGGCAATTACATTTGGTTAGTTGCTTAATAGATTTTCCCTTCATTACAATTGATTTTATTGCCTACTATGGGGTTCGCTACTTTTAGCAATCTAGTTTTATATGCAATTTCAATTTAATTCAAGTGTAAGTTCTGCCCTTAGATCCTCCCTAGTGTATGATTTTTTTTTTTTTTTTAGTTTTTAGTAAGGCCATCTTCCTTTTGGGGACTTAGCAATAAGTAAGTGGATATAGAATTTGGATACATGTAGCAGTTTGCAGACAACAACTAGTTTGGGACTACTAAGCTGTGTTTATCTTCATTTTGTTCCAAGAAAGGAGTGTGAAATTTTGTTGCTAATCTTTTATAGAGTCATTGTTTAGCTGCTTTGTCGTTTCTAGTTAAGTTGGTCTTCTTATTAGCTCTATCGATTCTATTAGTGGATTAAGGAATTTCATATTCTTTTTAATAATCCACACTAGACCTTGATGAATGCAAAATACCTCGTGGCCTCAATTGCTGGGAGAAATCAGTACTGAGTTCTGACAAAACGGTAGTTAATCTTAATCTGGACCTTTTTCCCCTCTAGAGTTTGAAGATCTAATTAAGTGACATTTTCCAACATGTTGTGAGGACGTTGGAATGTTTATTTGACAATTTTCTAAGGTGATAATCGGATAGAGATGTAAGATTTGGTGGTTGAAGTTTCTCTATTGTCGAATTCTTTGTTACAAATGGCCAAAACGAATAAGATTAGGTCAAATTGAATTAAACCACAGGTTGGTAAAGTTTCACGCAGAAAGTCAGATAGATCTGATTCATTTTAATTAACTAATAGGTAGGTTTATGCCACTCAACCTGTTTGACAGTTGGAGTCTATCTGAATTTGACATAAATTTGCAGCTTTAGTAATTCTTGATTTGCTATATTTTACCATGTTTTTAAGGAGACAAACAATGAGCTGGAGTATTTGCATTTCTGACTATGCCTTCTTCCCCCCTTTTGTTTTGGAGATTTCTGATTTCCAATAACTTGAGGTTATAAACTTTCTCTGCTTGCTAGGATTTAGATACTGAATAAATTAACTATATGCTCTTGTATTATGAGCATGGCTTTCACCATGTTTAGTCTCATGGTAATTTGCGTTCTCCTGTCTTTTTAATGATTGTCCCCATTGCAATCCTGTGATAATGTGGTTACTTTTACTCTGAGATATCATTTAATCGAATTAGTTAAAGTGCCGTTTGTTCTATACATATCTGTTTTGGATCTCATTGGTTAACTTAATGGCTTCTCATGTAACCAATCTTCTTAGTTCAAGTTATTTCGTTCCTTCAATTATTCTTCCAATCGTTTGCACTTTGATTTGATTAACCATAGGGATGTTCTAGAATAAAGAACCTGTTTATCTAATAGACTATTAGAGTCACTATGTGATCATGGGTGGATGGTATCGAATGCTCGTGATTGAATTCCTGTTTTCTTTTGTTGCTGGGTTTAGATAAACCTGTCCATGTGATCGGGTGGATGGTATCTAAGAACCTGTTTATTGCTGGTTTTCTTTTGTTAGCTTAGTAGAGAGAGACATGCATGGAATTTAATTTGCTTTGGCCTTGAGTTTTTTTACCATTTATGTTGGCAGAGTGTAAGAGAACTGAGCAAGGGTCTAAAACGAGCAGAGAAAGGTAGATCCAAGGTAACCTCAACTGGAAGTGGTCAATGATGTGTGAAGAATGCTAGATTTGTGGTTTCAAATCTTTATTACACTTTTGTACTCTCATTTTGCTCGTGTGCTGCCCAAGTTTGTGAGAGGTATTGGTCGGTAAAACCATATACTTGCTTCACATTTTTCTCACAGGGACAAACTATGTATTTATTTAGTTAGGTCGTCAATTCTTTTAAATTTTTGCTGTCAATATCTTGTCCTGTGGGTGGTAAAACTGAAACAATCTTCCTATCTTAGCCAGAGAAATTTTGTAAGAGATTTCTATTTTGCCTAGAAATAGTCAAGTGAACAAAATGGTTTTAAACAATCTTTTTTAAATTTGGGAAAGGGAATTTGAATTGTGCTCAAATGCATTCATTAACTATTCAATCAAATGCTACATGCTTTTGACTTTTCAGGCTTTTGATCTGGGTTCAATTTTGTGAGAGTTATCATAGAATTCTGTTGTAGTTTAATTATATTTATAAAATTCTAATTTATAATAAATAAATGAATTTTGTTTTAAATATTTTAATTAGATAAATATGATTTATACTAAAAAAAATTATTTTAATTGAAACTTTCTGATTGTAACTGGGGTTGATTAATATTCGGCAATAATTTTTATGAAATCAAATTAGTGGGATCAGAGCTCTGTTATAAATAATACTCGTGTTTGTTAAGGTATTGCAATTGTAATGCTATCCAATTCCAGAATTATATGTTTTTATTTTTGGTATATGCGAGGTCTCAATTTAAAAAATAGATGTTGTGAGTTACAGAATATTTATTTAGTATATGTGAAATCTTAATTTAAAAAATAGAGGTTACAGGTTTAAAAAATTTTAGGTGCACAATATTCAAGAAGTCGATAGAAATTAAAGGATTAAAGACCAATTAAAAATTAAAAAAAAAATAGATTTTCAGTGTCAACTTAAGTTATAAAGAAAAGAAAATTTGAAATGAGATTTTTATAAAAGAATTTCAAGAAAATACAAATGGTGTTTCTCTTAGGATCCATTTGGATCTTATCATATCATCATTGAGGTGCGATTGAAGGATTTAATGAGTTTAATAACATCATTTTTTGCATTTGAATAACATGAGTCAATGCAGTTGGTGTTTATTAACTGCATTACATCCTCAGTTTGTGATTGAACGTTCAGTGAAAATTTTTAAATTCATTGCAACATTTATTTCAAAAAATATCCTTCTTTAAGTTTTATTATTATTATTATTTTATTATAGTGTAGAGACAAAAAAAATCTATGTCATTTAAGGTCTTATTTATTAAAAATAAATAGATAAAAATAGCTTTTAATATTTAAATTTTTAATAAATTTAATATATTAAATATTTTGATTGAATAAATTTTAATATATTAAATATTAAATAATATTAAAATATAAATAAAAAATAATTTATTAATCATTTTTAAATTAATACTTTAATAATTATTATTTTTATTTTTCATTCAATGTTTTTCATCCACACACACCATTGATTTAAATTTCATTATTACAATATTTAATCTCACCCCTGTAATAACTCCATCTCAACATTACCTAATTAGTATCAGATCTGCCATTATTTTCAATCTCTACGCTGCCATTTTTTCTCGCGGTAGTAATATAGAGAAATAAATAACGACCGATGAAGTGTCCATGTTGGTCGGCGGCGCAAGGTGGGTGCGCCACCACGACAAAAGGTCGGTCCATAACAGAGTGCACCCCGTGCGGTCGAGTCGTTGAAGAACGCCAATACGAAAACCACCACCTCTCCCTCTTGCGTGCTCAAGACACCTCTTCCACTTGCGTGCTCAGGACGCCCCTCTCTGCCTCGTCACCTCCGATATCACCATTCTCTCTCCCGCAGCCTACCAAGTCCACGAAGACGACCCGTTTGAGCCCACGGGCTTTATTACGGCCTTTTCCACATAGTCCCTCGAGCCCAGCCCACTCTTCATCCGTTCCTGTCTGTCCTTCTCTGGCCACCTCGTCGAGCTTGATCGGACTGTAGAACTTTCTTCCTCTTCAACGCCATCATTGACGTCGTCGTCGATGGTTGTGTTGGATAATTTGATGGCTTATATGCAGATTATTGACGTCGCATCGATTTTGGGGTTGGACTGCGATATACGGATCAGTCGTTTCAGTTATTTAGAGATTGTTGTTCGGCTACCTGTTTGAGGAACCGAAGTGTTGAGGCGCTTGGTACTGCTTCTCTTGTTCACACCATTAGGAAAGCTCAAGAGCTCCGAACCCTCCAGGTAAATTTTACATTTCTGCTTCATTTCTATATATTTTTCATTTTTTTGTTAAAATATCGTCTCTGTTGATTGGTGAGTGAGAGATTTTAAGATTTTACATTTGGGTTGTTTATATTAAAACGTAAAATAGTTTAGTGGTAAGGTAGATTTAGTTGAAATTATATTACTCAGAATCAAGTTAATTTGTTACTACAACTGGGAATTGTGCCTATTTGCAATTTCAAGACCCTTTGGTAAAATTGATTTTTGATGCCGTAAACTGGCCTGCATTTGGCTCACATGGTTGGGTTGATTGATCGATTGTGCCAGTTCGTGAAGCTGATTGGTTTTAGGCAGAATCTATGCTGTTCTTTTTTCCTCTAAATAATGTTGTAATGCCCAACTATATGTTCCAATTGTTACTTATTTTGTTTATTATGATCATATCTTGTATGACCTTGTTTTAAGTCACTGCTGAGGTTTCTTAGGTATCATTCTTTATTGTAACGTGATATTTCAGTTAGCTAAGGGGTGCTGGCATGGTTACTCTTATGAATAATAACGTGGAGAATTGAACTGGTATGAAAATGGAGTATGCTGGAAGGTGGGCTTAAGAGGAGGACTGGGCAACCCCTTAAGTTAAATCAAGGGAATGAATCCTTTGTATGTTTAAATATTTATGAGGAACAGAGGTGTTGTGGATATTATATAAGAAAACCTAGAGTGCTAGAGGATGGAATTCCAGATAGCCAAAAAAAAAGTATAGAATTCCAGAGACCGAGAGTCTTAAAATTTTGAAACTAAATGTTTCTTGTTTTATTTTTCGATGTTGTTAAGGTACTTTAAGCCATTGAAAGGGAAAAGTTCTTTATTCTAAAGCGTCTCTAAGGACCGTTCTAAAATGACATGAAATCTCCATTGCTGCCAATGTACTGCAGAAAGAGATGGGCAAGTACATCAAGATAGTGGGAGAAGCTCTACAGTTAAGTCAGCCTATCAATAGTAATTATATATCAGTCTATATGCCGAGATTTTGCACTCTCCTCCAGCTCAACAAATCTGCACTGCTACTTTTCTTTTTAAGAGTAACTTCTTGGACCTAATTATTTAGTGATGAAGTTGAGTTGTATCTATTAGAAGTTTTATGGATACAAGTTGTCAGGAAAGTTTATAATAAGATTATAGATGGATTTTACACTGTATAATTTGTTGACGTCTGTATATGATGGCTTAACAGTAGGGATGAGTATATTTAGTTGTGGCGCGAAGCTATTCTTTTAGAAATGATACTTGATTCAGTGGTGTCTCTAAACTCCTGCTGTTAGGTTCTGATTTTCATTGAAGATGGCTGTAATAGAGTCTTCTTAATGCGTTCAGGGGCTGGCAACTCATATTGGAGAAGTTGTGATCAACAAATGCTTCTGCACTAGCGGGAATCCAATCAGCATCTCAGCAGCTGCTATGTATCTGGCATGCCAATTAGAAGACAAACACAGACCCAGTCTGAGATTTGTAAGGTGACAGGTCTCACAGAGGTCATCCTCCGAAAAGTCTATAAGGGGCTGTTAGAGAATTGGGATGATCTACTTCCATCTAATTATATTCCGGCTGTTCCTCCAGAGAAAGCATTTCCCACAACTACAATTGCCACAGGCTGATCTTCAGTGCCTAGAGTTGATCCAATTGACATTAATTCTTCATTGGACAGAGATAGAGAGCAAGACTGCAAGCCTAATAAGCCTAATGAAACATCAGAAACAGGCGTTCGAGCTAGAGGCAAAGATGACGCAGACAGCAACAGCAATTCTTCTGAGCCATGTGGCTATGTTGAACCGGCCACCACATTTCGGGCAACCCTGGCTTCAGTTTTGGGCACCCGCTGATAGGACAGCAGGAGATAACCACCAGACCAACATTTGAGGAGACATTAACGAAGCACAACCAAGCTGCTGGAGTTAGAGCAAAGAGGAGACATGTCGAGGGGTGCTACCGTGCTAGTAGTTCTCCAAGGCCAAGCCAGTTCTCATTTCTCAAACACTCCAGCTTCAAATGGGAGTACAATCACTTGGCCATGTCGTTCACCAAACACATCAGGGCCTTCTCCTGCTCTCTGCCATAAATTGTTGTGGTGTGGAACATCATAATTGATACATAAAAGGTTAGATTTTCTAATTACATTTACCTGCATTACATGCCATGATAATGCTTATGCTAGAATTCATGATTTTTTGGGTGGAAAAGGAAAAAAATGGAATCTAAATTTATGTTTTTTTGGTTTTGTTTTCCATTTTTCCTCAAAGAATTGATTTCCGTTAACCATAAAATTTACTACTCTCATATTTATGGAACTTTTTTTAGTTTGAAAGTAGTAGGCTGGGCCGTGATTCGTCGGACGTGACTCACGGTATATTTTGAACCATCGATCCCTCATAATCCAGCTGTCCATAACCCGTGCGGCACTTCCGCAATTTCTTTGAACTTAGGTGGCATTCTTCTAATCTTCCCGATATTTACACGCATAGTGACGTCTCAAACCAGGCTGGGCTTATTCTCTCTCATCAACCTACATGCTTCTTGAAAACAAGCACACCTACGTCAAATCTCCACGGTTCATTTGTCCACGTCATCGATCGGTGTCCTCCTTAATCCAACGGCTCGTCGTCCTCCCATAATTCACAGAACCACTCTGCAGCCTCCTCCCTCAAACAAAACCGCGCCCTAGCCTCCAACCACGAGCCCCAACCATTTCTCTTTAAGGTTTATCCCCCACTCTTAGCCAATAAGAAAACAAAGAAAATAAAAAATAAAAAAAAGGTGAGAGTAGGAGAAAGAGGAACAAAGGAAATTGAAATTAGTTATATATATATATATATATTTGTGTTTCCTTCTCAAGCGCTTGGAACTTGGAATAACAGTGTCCGTACATTTAAAAAAAAAAAAACTTAAGGGTTTTAAGCCGTGCAAACAGATGAATAACTTAACTAGCCCTCGATCTTCAAAAAGATTAGGGTTAGGGTTTCCTTTATGTTTCTCCCAATCTTTTTAGCTTCTTTCCTTTGATATTTTTTTACTCTATTTTTCCTGGAAGTGAAACTCCTTATTCTCTTCCTTTTCGAACTATCTCTCTGAATCTATTTCTTTAGAAAATATAGGTGAAGAAGCTTTAATTGACTTTTTGTTTATTAAATAGGGGTATATGAGATAAAAACGGTGCCTATTTTGATGGACGAGATCTGGGAGAGAGCGGTGGAGACAGCGTTAGACGGGCAAGCGGACCACAAGGGGGCTCGAGCCTTGACACTTGACGGTGCGGTGAAGTGCGTGCAAGGTCGCCTCCCGCCACCGAGCCTCTTGGAAAAATTTGAGAATCTTCAACACCTTTCTATCGCCAACATCGGCGTTTCATCTCTAGAGCAGTTTCCTCGCCTTCGAAATCTCCAGAAACTTATCCTTTCAGATAACAGAATCGCCGGTGGTCTCGAGTTCCTTGTTGAAGCCGGCCTCGACTCGCTCCGAGACCTTGATTTGTCCAACAATCGGATTCAATATATAGAGGATCTTGCCCCGCTTGCCCAGCTAAAGCTTGTTTCGCTGGATCTTTATGAGTGTCCCGTTACCAGAGTTAAGGATTATCGATCCAGGGTTTTTGGGTTGATTAAATCGTTGAAATATTTGGATAAAATGGATGCTGAGGAGAATGAAAGGCCGGAGTCGGATGATGAGGAGGAAGATGAAGAGGATGATGATGAAGATGATCCAGGGAGTGGGGAAATCGATGGTGAGGATCGGCCGTACAGAATGAATAATGGGCATAGCGAAGGAGGGGAGGGGATCGTTGATGTTGATGAGGATGAAGAGAGCGATGCCGACGAAGAAGAGACAGAGACAGGTAGAAGAATAAATGGGCAGAGCCATGAGGTGAACGGGTTTCGGATTGAGGAAGTGGAGAGAGATGAAGTTGAAGACGACGAGGATGATGATGATGAGAATGATTCAGGTGAGGAAGTTGATGATGAGGAGGAGGAGGAGGAGGAAGATGTTTTGGAAGTTCATGAGATTGGGGATAGTGATGATGAGGAAGATGGGGTAGAAGATGATGACGATGACGAGGATGATGAGGAGGAAGAGGTAGATAATGATGAAGGAGATTTTGCTGAGCCTGAGAGTACTGGGCGTTTGACAAGCACAGAAGGGGAGATTGATGGGCATGAAAATGGAGAAGTTGATGGGAATGATGATGGTGAGACTGGTGAGGAAGAAGAGCAAGGTGTTGAAGATGAAGAAGAGGAGGTGAGAATTGAAATTCCATATTACTTGCGATACTACTATCTCATGAATCTATGTTTTAACCAAATTGATGTGTTTTAGTTTCTACTTGCTGCTTACTGTTCTGTGTTTGTGTCCTGACTTGAGTGAATTGTTTGATTTAAACAGCTTTTTTAGATTTGACAGGAAAATGAGATGACATGGCTGTGCTGCTAAGTTTTGAATTCTGTTTATTTCTTGTTACTTCTGGAATCTGTGCAAAGCTTTTACAGTTCTTTTTTCATGGTCTTCTAGTTAACTTTGCCGTGTGTTTATGTTTCTTTGAAACATTGAAGAGGAGAACAAGTTCTGTATTCACCTTATGGTGCGAACCAAGAATTTTGTGCTAAAAATCTGACTAATTTTGTTGTTAGAAATCATATGTGGATTACTTTTTCCCCCGTGAAAGAGCTCATATACAGAGCTAATGTATCTGATGATTTTTAGTTCTAATTTTCTACTCTTCTTCTCATTCACTATTGTAAGTCTTTGTACAGTGAGGACAGTAGAGAAATTACTTCAAAGTACGCTAGTTTTGGTTTTGTAGTTTGGAGGGAGCTTTCTGTAATGTTTTTCCTGAAACCTTAGGAAGTTGTAGCTTATCAGCTCTTCATCAAACTATTGGTATTTGTTGCTGTATGTGCTCATTAGAGAGAAGGTGAATTGGGGTTTTGTCTTTGAAGTGTGTTTTAATCACTTGTTGGGCAAGTTCTTTGTCAAGAGAATATAACTGTTGTTCTTTATAGTTGCTGTGTGTCTGTCCTTTCTATGACCTTATCATGAAGAAGTTTTTAGCTTTCTTATCTGAAATATTTTTCTTTTCAGTAGATTCAAAGTTTTTTTTTTTTTTTTAATGTAATTTCTGTCTTCCGGTTCTCTAAGAATATTGTTTTGGTTCACTAAACAGCTTATTTACAAATTCATGGCAACTTGGTGGGCCAAATTTATGTTCCGTTGGTTGCAGCTAAAGTGCAGTTGTAAAGCTGATAAGCCACTTTCTAATGCCATGGCTGCTTTTTTTATTTTTTTTTATGAAGTTATGGTAGGCTGAGTTGATTATGGGTTATTTTGAACATTTTTAGTTGGTAACCTTAGCTCTTTCTCTTAACTTATTTGGCTTTTTTATGCATGCACATAACATTCTTGGAGTAGTTTTTGCATGTCAATTTAAAAAAACTTATTGTTCTCATTTGAAAAAATTGTTGGCATTTGAGTGTTCTGGTTGTGTTGTTGCAGTAGTTTTAGTTCGTCAATTATTTGATATTTATATAATTATTGTGGCTAAGATGTTTCCTGTTCAGAAGAATAGTAGTACTGTTATTTGGTAATGTCATGTGGCTTTTTGTTTACTTGGGTTGTTTTGGAGGATTGAGAAAAAAAGGGGGGATTGTGGAAGAGAAGAGTTTGGGCCTTGGGGGTCTGTCTTTGTCTGATTGCAGTGCCGTCTTAGGTATCTGGTAGTATCTTTGTTTTGAATATAGTTGACTTTTATACATTTTACATTTTTTATTTTTGTTGATTATGATTCTCTTGGTTTATCTCATTGTTTTTGATGAAATAATTGAATTATCTTTAAACTCTTTTTTGTTGACTGGAATGGCAGGATGAGGATTATGGTGAAGGTTACCTGGTTCAACCAGTGGGCCAGGCTGAAGAACATGATGGTGGAGGTAGTGATATGGACCCGGGGTATGAAGAGGAGGAGGAAGAAGTCGAAGATGATGAGGAAGTGCTGCCTTCGACTTCTCAGCTAAAGAGAAAGAGAAGTGATGATGCAGAGGAGGATGAGGATGATGAAGAGGAAGATGATGTTGTTGAGTTTGCAAAGGCATCAAAGAAGCATCAATAGCTCTTTTCAATTTCCCAAGTTAGATGTTTTTGTTAATGCTTAAAAGCTTGGAAACAGGGGAAACTTGATGTTAGATAGATTGGTTGATAGTCTGGTAGGGATGTTGGCTGTGTACTTGGACCCAATGTTTAGGTGAAGGGAATTGTGTACCTTGGGTGGCACATGCTTAGTTCAAAAAGTCGTTAGAGAGTTTGTTCTTCCCGCTTGCTTTTTCTTATATAGCCGTTTCTATTTGTTAATTCAAATGGCAGTTATGTAGGGTTTACCGCTCTCAGGAGTCGGGTCTCGGGAGCCTATTTCTAAAGGAGAATGGAGGGAAAAGAGAAGTTAATAAATCCTTGTTTTTTCGTGTTTGTCCGAGCGGGTTTTCTAAAGGGGCGTGTGGACTTTGTAAGTTATAAAAACGATTGTAGATATTATTGTTATTCTCCTCGGCGTCGTATTGAATCAAGCAAGTGGGCTTCAGGCAATTGATGACCTCAGTAATTTATTATCACACATGTACGGATGTGACTGGTCGAATGGGTTTTATATATATGAGCTGCACGGTCAGATGTGACATGGGGCCTTTGCATCATGATCGACAGATTCTTTTCTGTGAATATGATCCAGCGGTTTGATTATCAATTACTATGCATCTTATCCTTTTTGTCACTTTAAAGAAGGTCATCTGTGTTGTTGCTGGTAAAATGCTTTACGTTATATATAGAGTAGGAAGGTAGCTTCAAGCTTCTGGTTGATAATATATTCACATTGCAATGGATGGTATTTATGTAATTTAGACAATTGTAATCTGGTAGAAACTTTAATTGTGAAATTGAGCTATGGTTTAGTCCAGTCTCTGTGTCGTTACTCAGAAGAGCCCAAGACTTTCAGGGCTTGCTGCTTTACCTTTATCCTTTCAAAACTTATCATACGTGTATATATATATATATTACAACATACATTAAAGATGTTAATTTTATTCATATTTAATAAAAAAATTGATTTGTTATTTAAATAAAAATGAGAATGGAGATATGTATTATATTATTAGTACGAGAATGTATATGATTTTAAATTTTTATTTGATATAAGGAAGAGATTAATATAGCTAATGTTTTGTATTTTACATATATATTTTTATATATTTAATAAATAAAATTTTTACTAAATAATATAAGTTATTATTTTAGATTAATTAAAATTAATATATTTTTATTAAAAAATATATATTAATGTATATTTATAAAAAATTCTCAAATATACAAAATAACAAAACTAAAAAAATAAATTTTGGTTTTTTTTAAGCTATGAGTAAAAATAAATTTAAAATACTTATAAGGGTACAAAGATGGGTATAATATAAAATTTTGGAGATAGAAAATATTTAACCCTCTTTATATTCTACCTATTGATATCTCTATTATACATGGATACTTGATAAGGTATGTTTCATGGATACTTGTGTGGACAACTTATTTAGATGATAGTTATGATATATTTTTTAAAGAGTATCTTTTAATTCTAAATAGGATAATCTTGAATTTATTCAAATATCAAAATTATTCAAGTTATTATTACAATTCAAATTAATCATGAAATATATATTTTTTAAATTAAAAATTTGAAATATGGATTTGATCCAAATAATTTTAATTTTTTTACTAGATAACCCTATTTGATAAGTTATTTAATTATGAAAAATTTTCATCATGTTTGAAAAAAGATTAAATTTATAGGATTCTTTCAAAAATTGTCCATATTCTTTTACCTTAATTTTTATCAAACAAAAATTTACATAAAATGTTGAAATTTCAAATAATCTTTTTATATTAAATCTCTAAATAATAAGATTTATATCCATCTTAACTCAACTATCAATTTTATATTTAAAAAATAGGTAAAATTTTGTATTTAATTTTTATCATTTATTATATATTTTTATTTTTTTGAAATATTAATTTAAAAATTATCTATTCAATCCTAAATGTTATACAAGAGTTATTCTATAAATTAAAGACTATAAATATAATGTACTATATATTTTTTTAATTTTTTGTTTTGCAACTTTTTTGAATTTTATTACTATTTTAATTTATTTTTTCAATTTGCAATTTTTTTCTCAAGTATATTCTATTACTATTGTAAATTTATTCTTATGAAATTAATTATTTTAATTAAATTTTCACACAACTCCTAACATTTTTTTAATATTTTTATATAGTAATTTTAACAGATTTTCAAAAGTGAAAGTATGTCTAATTTTTTTATTATTTAATTCATCATTTAATAATATAATGTTTTGTTCTTTTAAAAAAGACATAATTTATTTTTATTTTATATAAATTTTAGATATATAAATATTATTGCAAATAAAAATAGTATAAAATGAAGACATATTATTTTCTTGTTGCTTTCATAAAAAAAATTATTTTTAATTGCAAGTTAATAGATAAAAAAAGACTTTATATATATTATAAATTTTTAAATTTTAAATAGAATTTTTTAAAAAATTAATTTATATATATAATAAATAAAAATATTCCTTGTGTCGCACAAATCACAATCTAATTTTTTTTTTATAATTAATAATTTCAAATATTTTCAAGCGGGTAGCAGCACCACCACCTGGAAATAGGCCCGCATCGAAAGAACTTTCACCCCCTCTCTCTCGCCTCCGGCCATGGATGCCTCAAGGAACTGCTACTGTTACCACCATCAACCTTCCCTAAAACGCAATAGTTTCATTGTCACATACAAAAAAAAAAAAAAACAAATAGTAGCAGGTTCCGCTGAAAGTGCTAGCCAGGGCAAAGGAGACAATTGAAAGCGGCAATGGTGTTAGAGAGAGCAGCAATAGTAGACGGCCTGGCTGGTTGCCACCCAACCCATTGATTGCTTGGTCCCTTTACACTCTCAGGACAACTGGGCGTGTTCTGCGCCTTGGGCCAGGTGGCTTGACAGGTGCACTGAGAGGTGTCAGCTACCGAGTTGTTGCCTTGTTGGGATTGTGGGTGGTCTTTGTGCACAAAAGCCAATAAACTATTTCTGGTCTGCCCAATGGGCCTTTTGGGTTATTAAGTTGCAGTTCATTGGCAATGGCTCCAATCCAGGACCCTTCCCAAGTGACTGACCAGTGCTTCTGCTAGGGACACAATGTGGTATGGTATGGGCCACTGCCGCTCTATCTTTTGCTTGAGCCGATGGTTTATTCCATAAATCCATAAATTTATTTATGGATTGAAACATATTGATTTTTAAAAAATTCAAAATTGATTTATTGGGTTTAGATGTCTAAATATTTTTTAAAAATACATTAGAATATTAAAAGCATAAAATTATAAACTATTAATATCTTCAAATGTATTTTAAAATTAAATTTAAAATATTTAAATTTTCAAATCGAATTAAACTTGAAAAATGCATTTGGTTTATAGAATCTTAAATTTTCAAAAAAATGTGATCTCTAAAAATTTGTGATGCCTAGGTTTTTATTTTATTTTTAGAGAATTTCGTATTCAGATTCACTCGTTGGGTTAGAAAAAAATTCACATATATTAATTATTATATAATTACTATAATATCTTTGACATATAGGATGATAATTTTTTATTTTATTTTATTAATAATCAATACCCAAAACAATAAATTATGCCTTTAGCAGCAAAAAAATATTTTAATTAATTTTTTATTTATAAAATATCATCAATTAAAGTGTTTCAAAACATTAACGCTTTAATTGATAAGGAAAAATGTTAGAAAAAGGATCAATTAAGGTATTTTCCACTTTACATGCCTTAATTAATGCCTTTTTTTATAAATTAAAAACAAAATCAATTAACCAAACGCCTTAATTGATCTTGTTTTTAATTTATAAAAAGGATCAATTAAGGTGTTCAAAATGACTAATGCCTTAATTGATCATTTTATTTTTTTATAACTAATAAATTAAGGCATTTTTATATAATGATCCTTTTATTTTTTTAACATTTTAATTGATCAATTATTTGTAAAAACGCCTTAAATGATCATTTTTTTTATACCTTAATCGATCAATCATTGATGGAGTTTTTGTACACAAACCCCTTAATTGAGACATTTTTTTTTTTTATAATTGATCATCTCAGGCATTGATGTACATAAACGCCTTAAATGATCATTTTATTTTTATTACGCTTTAATTGATCAATCATTTAAGGCATTTCTTTACACAAAATCCTTAATTGAGACATTTTATTTTATTTTTTATAACTGATCATTTAAGGCATTTTTATACAAAAACACCTTAAATGATAATTTTATTTTTTTTACACCTTAATTGATCAATCATTTAAGGTGTTTTTATACACAAACTCTTTAATTAAGACATTTTATTTTTTTATAACTAATCTTTTAAGGCGTTTTTGTATTGAAACACCTTAAATGATCAATCATTTAAGGCGTTTCTATACACAAAATGTCTTAATTGAGACATTTTTTTTATAACTAATCATTTAAGATATTTCTATACAGAAACACCTTAAATGATCATTTAGTTTTTTTTATGCCTTAATCATTCAATCATTTAAGGCATTTTTGTACACAAATGTCTTAACATTTTATTTTTTTTATAACTGATCATTTTAGGCATTTCTATTAAATGATTATATTTTATAATATATAAAATGGATCAATTAAGGTGTTTCTATTCACAAACACCTTAATTGACCTAAAAATTATTTTTAAAACTTATCAGTTAAGGCGCTTGTATTTACAAACGCCTTAATTGATTATTTTAAAAGATTCATTTCCCGTTTTTAAACCTTGAAAAACCAAACGGCTAATACAATTGAACGATAAAAAGCTGCAATGTGTATTTCCCTAAACCCATCAACCTATTTACTTTGTATTTTGGTTTCTTCTTCTCTCTCGTTGCGTCAACCTTCAACTACTTAATGCCATCACACCTCGTTTTTACTGGTATCTGTGTATTTTTTTCTTTTTGTACTATTTATATTTTTTATATATGTTATTTTTTGTCTTTTCTTGTTATATATATTTTTATTTTTAAAAGCATTTACCACCGTCACATACGTCTCACAACCTCATTTCATTGCATGGATGGTTTTTTCTTTATTGTTTGGGTTAAGTATTGTAGTTTGCTAAATGGTTTTGTATAAAATAGTTGTTATATTTGTACTTATTTGTTTTGCATGAAACTCTTGTCTTATGATGAAACACGATGTGGCTTGTACATGTATAATATTATTGATTTTGTTATGTTTTATGTATATTGTAGTGGATATTGGTTATTTTAACTGTGTGTGATATATAAAGAGATAATTTGGTGTATTTCATATAATTTTGATCAAAATTATAGGTATTATGAAATTGTCTGAACATATGTCTAATTTTATTGAATATGAAGAAGACACACTCGTAGTGAAAAAAAAAAGAAAAGCAAGAGGATGTGGCAAACAAATTAAAGTGATTGAGATAAAAATTCACGTCGAGTTCAATTAACGTGGCCAACTTGTGTTAGATGGAGGTGCAAAGTTGGCTAGCCATATTAGAGCAGTCGTCCGGTATAATATTTTTATTACATACCATACTTGGCAGATGGTTCCTGATAATAAAAAGGATAATATATAGGAGTTGGTTATGGTATGTTTATTCAACAATATCCAAATTATAGTTAATTTAAGTTTTGATTTGAATTAATGTGTTGATACTAATTGTTTTAAATTTATTAGGAATGTTTTGACGTTTTAACTAAGTATAAAAAGCTTGTGTTGTAATTGGTTGAGAAAGCATTCGGAGACTTTAAGAGCAGATTGTCAAACCAACATATTTTACCTTTTGCTGATAATTATGAATTGTTGGCTAATCTTCTATCATCATATGCAAATGTTATCAGTTATGAATAGTGGTTGCAGTTTGTTCAAAATTATCT